ACCAATCCATATCCACCTACTATAAAATTGACAATCAGTTCTGCATCTCCATCTTCATATCAACCTCAAGGAAAGCCGCGGCTTCCAGTTGCCGATCCCCTTTCCCCACTTTTACTTCACACACATATATACAACTACTTAATTGTGAACTGAGCTTTAGCAGAATGGCCAACACAATACTGCTGCTGTCTTTAGCAACGATACTTTTAGCGACGGCATCCGAAGCGTCACCACCAGAGCTGAAATCGGGCTCCTTCTACTCCCCGCCGTTCGAAATGACCCCAGGAAAAGTCGTCTTCGACTACTTCTACGGCGTCGACTTCCCCACCGGCCACCTCGCCGTCAAGACCTTCCGCGCCGACCTCGTCGACGACGACGACAACGTCATCCCGTTCCACGAGGTCTACCTCCACCACTCCTCCATGTCCCGCTACTACCAGGCCCAAAACTACTCCATCCCTTCCGTCCTCGAGACCGAAACCCTACCTTACTCCGAAACCGGCGGCTTCGTCTACCGCCGGAACGACGGCATCTGCCAGTCTGACATCCTCGGCCAGTACCTCGGACTCGGGACCGAGATGCAGAGCACGCCCTACGTCGTCCCCGACCCGTACGGGATGGAGGTCGGGGACCCGGCCCAAATTCCCGCCGGGTGGGTTCCACATTATTTCACTCCAATATTTTTACAGAATATTATCGTCAATTATTACTGTGGTTCTTATATTATTGCTCTGTCTTAATATCCTAAAAATGGAAGTTGACAAATCTCGTGTTTAAAATTACTAATGATCGTCCTGAAAACCAATAAAGTTACATTTTTAATCTTTTGGTATCTTTACGTTTTCTTTAGCAAACAAACATCACTTTAACCGAAAAAAAATGAACAACACTCAATCTCTCACACTCTCGAATTCATCGTTGACATTCTGGAGTCGTGGTCGTCGAGAATACGTTCGAATCATATGTAATGACTCCGACGAGGTAAAAATTCAAAATCCCTCAAGCGAATCCAATTTTTGGTTTTACCATGGTTCAACCAACGCCAATTTTCGGTTGTTTCATGGATCAACCGAAAATCAACTTCCGTTGTATCATGGACCAATTGAAAACTATCTTCGGTTGAGCCTTGGTGCAACCGAAGGTAATTTTCGGTTGGTCCATGGTACAAGCAGAAATTGGCTTCGGTTGAGGGGTTTTTGGATTTTTTTTTTTTTTTGGTTTTTTGGTTTATATCAATAATTTCCTATTCTTTTGCTACGATTTATGGTTCGGTTCATAAAATAATTTGTTGGATTTTGGTTTATATTTTTTTAGATTTGTGGAAGGGAGGGGTTGTTTGTTTTGTGTTTGATTTTGAAATTCAAAATGGACAATTTGATAAATTACGTATTAAGTTCGTACAATGGTTACTTACTTGCTTAGTAATTTTTAGTACGACTTTTAACCATTCAGCTAAAAATTTCATCATATTTCTGCGGTGCCCAACAGATTCGACGAGAAGTGGCTGCTGATGGTCCACGCGATCGACACGCGCGGAGCCGTGGACCGGTTCGGGTGCACGGAGTGCAGGAGGGATTTGTACAATGTTTCGGTGGACGGCCTTGGTCGGGAGCTGGACCAGTTCGGGGAGCCGCTGCCGGACGATTATTACGGAGGGTTGTCGTGCTGTTACGCGCACACGCGCTGTAAGGTTAAGGAGGGGTTCCACGCGCCGTCGAGGATGATTCGGTTGAGGTACTCGATGACGTGGACCGAGTGGGAACCGTCGATTGTTCCGGTTAGGGTTTACATCTTTGATATCACCGATGAGATGAAGTTGAAGGTGAGTCGTGATACCGGCGCGGTCACGGCGGAGCACGATTGCGGGGTAAGAATACTGATGATCGTGAATTTAATTTTTTTTGCCTGTCTTTGTCAGCTTCTCGTACACTGTTAGGTTTATTTTTTATTTTTTTTCATGAATTTGGTAAAAAAAAGTGGGTACCAAAAGGAAAGAAAGAAACCAACAGGCTATATAAGAGATGTCACCAAAATGACGATGGAAATAAAAACAATGCAGGATGAAGTTTTTATTTTTTTTAATGGTGACAATGCATTTGAAATGGAATAAAATAGAGTTCACAAAGAGAATTCACTAGACGAGAATAAGGGTGAAAATTGGTATCACGATATCAAATATGGAATAATTCACTCAAAACAAAATTTGTATCCTAATCTCAAAATATATGTAATTTATAATCAAATAGATAAGTAAATAAATAATGGTTCGAACACTCCAAATCTCGAACATTTTTATATAAGGGAGGCTTGTAGGTTTAATTTTATGATTGAAAAAATCTTGGTGATGGGAAGTTGAGGTGAAAACTCTGAAAAACACTAATCTATAATGGATTCATCACAAGTTCCCATTTGGGGTCTAAGAGACTCAACAAAGGGTCTTGAGTCTATCTGGAGCTAATGCATGAAGAAGGAGAAGAGAGCCGATGGTGATATCTCAAATTTTGCTTGAGAGACGACTAACAAGAGTGTCTATTTTCTGTTGGTGTTATGAAAGTGACAAGAGATTGGGTGAGTGACGAGAGTGATCCGAGAATCTAGACAACCAAGCTTGGGTTGGATGGGGATTGCAAGTCGTCAAAGAGGAAGGAAGGACCAGAGATTGTAGGCTCCAAGCTCATATTAATTAATTATAATTGAGATACTTTTTGATGATGTTTCCGTATATATCGGTCCATTTTTATAATCTCTAGTACCAATAACAATCCAAAATCAGTCTCAATCCTAACTAATTTTTTTTGTTTTGATATTCAATAATACCAATAATAGTAAATTTGGTACGATATTCAACCGATCCCTAAAATGTAATGATATTCCAAAAAAAAAATTATGATATTCAATAATATAATAGCCAAATTTTGTGCTAAGAAATATCTACATATATCCTCAACCCATGTCATACATCAAACAGCTAACGACATTAATCATTTAATTTCCAAGTAATATCTTCACCGCCACCTAAAAAATTTCTTCCTTTTTTTTTTTTCAAAAACCATCGATCAAGCTTATTATTATTATCAATTACAGCTTGAATACATGGTGGAGAGCTGCCACGTGAATGGACCAAAGAACAACATTATTGCAGCAGCAGAAGACGACGATGACGACAAGAGATGTGCCGACTTCCAAAAAACCATAGTGCCGATGCCCAACGGTGGCGACGTGATTTTTGGGCTCACTCACCTCCACGGCGGGGCCATAAACTCCACCATATATGGACAGGTTCGTCGTGGCTCTTCCTTCCTTTTAGGGTTACGTTACGTTACGTCGTGTTCTGAATTCTGTACTATGTAATGATTATTTGAACGGTGGAGTATTTTTGTTCTATCAGGACGGCCGGGTTCTGTGCAAGACGGAGCCGATCTACGGCGAAGGAGAGGAGGAAGGCTACATCGTCGGGATTTCCACGTGTCAGCCTGAACCGGGCTCCGTCTGGATAAACGACGGTGAGATGATCGTTCACGAGACCGTCTACACGGCCGCACGCCGACGTACCGGCGTCATGGGCCTTTTCTACCTCCTCGTCGCCGACCGCCGGGAAGATGCCCTTACTCCTCCGGCGACGAATAGCTTCTTGCGCCTTCCTTCTTTGGTACGTACGTAACTGATAGATGATTTTTGCGAATCTTTATCATATGATTATCGAGTGATCTAGCACGTGGTTATATATATGGGAATTGACGTGTGGTTTGGGAGTCGTGAATTGTGATTGTTTTCTGTGAGATTGTTACTGTTGTTTATAATGCATTATTTTATTGAATTTTTAGCAAGACACAATACATGGATTGTTTTTTGTGATGTGAGAGAATTTATCGGTCAAAATGAATGATTGTTACATTTCAGCTTTTAGTTGAGATTGTTTTATCGCAGCTTTTATATGACATGCCAATCACACATACCAAACTCTGTATGTTAACTTTACAATATAATGCATCAAATTCATCGTGTATGATATTATACATATATTCACAACGAGACATGTAATTAACAATCAGATCAGAACTTCCAAACAACCCGAAATCCAATACTTTTGGACCACTTGTTGGTTTTTCTGATGAATTATTGGTGTGTGATGGGGCATGCTCAGCTGGCCGAGAAGGTGACCGTTGGGCCGGGAGTGACGGCGACGTCGACGTCGGGAGCCGTGGTGGGAGTTGGATTGCTTCTTGTGGCTGCTGTGGTTCTTGTTGTTGTCGTCGGGAAGAGGACAAAAACTGGAGGTGGTTGCACATGGGTGTGATCAAGAATACTGGCCGCCGGCGGGGAAAATGAGATTATCTGGGTGTGACGTGGGTCCGGCGGCCGGAGACTATTGTTACTTATGATTATTGTACGTCTTGGGCTTGTGTTTGTGTGATGATTATGCATGTTTGTGTGGTTCTTGTCCGTTCGTTCGTTTGTTTTTATTTATTTAATAATTGTTTTCGTTTCGTCCATTTTTGGTCCCAGCCAGTGTGTCAGTCTGTGTCCGTGCATGGGACAAAATAATAAATAAAAAAAAATAAATAAGTGGACATTGGTTGCAGTGCGAGCGACTCCATCATTTTGGACTTGTTTAGTTTCGTTTGAAGGAGAGAAACATTTGCCTCTGGGGCTAGATCATAGGTTTTGCGATCTTGACTGAACTCTATGTTCTTTTTTTTTTGGTAAGAACTATTAAGAACGAACAAAGCGGGGTGTTACACCCCCCACACGATCAAAGAACAGCCAGTACAGGAGTTTAGTATCCGGTCTATCTAATATATGAACACCAATCGAACGGGAGTGGCCCAAAGAAGCCAAGTAATCCGCGGCAAAATTTGCTTCGCGGAACACATGCTCAATACGAACTTCCCAATCGCGATTCAGTCTCTGTCGGATCTCCGCGACCTGAGTAAAATGAGAGTGCCTCGGTGTCGCCTTGTCTATCAGGTTCTTTGCAGTGGACGAGTCAGTCTGTAGAATCACCTTCCTGGCTCCCTGTTCCCAGGCGAGATCAAACCCATACACAATACCAGCCAGCTCTGCACGAGTGATCGAACCCCCTCCAAGGTTCGCAGTGAATGCCTTAAGAAAGCGGCCATCACTCCCCCGTATGATGCCGCCGCAGCTCGTGCTCTCTGGAGAAATGGTGACTGAGCCATCTGTATTGACACAGACCCAGTCCTGCGCCGGTGGTTGCCAGCCAATTTGGCGCTGTTCCGGAGTCCCCCTCCTCCGAAAATCTCATTCTCCTTCTCGAGTGCTTGGATGGTTTGGTCTCGGAGCTGTTTTGCATGGAACTGGATTTGTGCATGAGTTTTCAGCTCCCCTCGGAACATGTAACCATTCCGGTTCTTCCGCAGTAGCCAACAAGTCCCTGCAAAAAGAGTGCTATCAATGCTATCGCTCTTATCAGAGATGTAGTACAAAGACCACCTGTGTATATCTTGCTCGAAGAAGCTTGAGTCAGGCTCCTCTCCCAGTAGATCCGCCCAGGTCGCCCGCGCGTATGGACAATCCCGGAGAACATGCAACGTCGTTTCCGGGCCATCTCCACAGATTTTACAGTCGGTGTTCGTCGTGAGGTGCCTCCTTCCTCTCTCCGCATTAGTCAGCAGTCGGTTGTGGTTCAAGAGCCAAAGGAATGCCCGGATTCTTTGCAGCGTCGGCGCCCGCCATACCGATTTCCAGATGGGTTGGCTCGGATTCTGGTCCGCCGTGGTATCCGTCAGGTCATAGGCCGTACGCAGGGTGAACTCGCCATTGGGAGTGAACCGCCAGGTCCTCACGTCGTCTTCCGTTCCCGCCGGGACAGGATGTAGCGAGACCTGCGAAGCAAGCGACTGGGGTAAGTAAAAATTAAGAAAATCCATATTCCACTTACCGTTTAGCACGAAATCAGCGACCGACATGTTGAGCAGCTCCGAAGGGAGGTTCTGCACATGATCTTTGAGGATAGTGGTATCATTCAACCACCGATCACTCCAGAACTTGGCTGTGAGTCCATTACGCAAGTTCCACGCCGTCGCTACCTCCGAGAGATGAGCCACCCTCAATACTCCTCTCCAAAGGTTCGAGAGGCGGCCATTTGTCACAAACCGCCTGCCCTCTGCCGTGTTCCTCGAATACTTCGCGAGAATGACCCTGGCCCAAAGTTCGTCCGGTTTTGTGATCAACCTCCAAGCGATTTTCAACATATAAGCTTCGTTAGTTCTTGTAGAGTCCCGCAGCCCCAGTCCCCCCTCGTCTTTCGGTCTGCAGAGGGTTTCCCAGTCGACAAGGTGGATTTTACGGCCCTGGTCGGTGCTTCCCCAGATAAAAGCTCTGATCTTCCTATCGATATACTCCCTGACACTAGCAGGCAGGAATGTCGTCTGCATTGTATAAGCCGGAAGGGAAGCCAAGACTGACTGAGCAAGGGTGATCCGTCCGGCAAGAGACAGCGAGGAAGCTTTCCATCCTGCTAGTCGGGAATCAATCCTGTCGATCAGCTGTTGGAATGTAGCCTTCGAAACCCGGTCGTGAATGACCGGTACGCCCAGATATCTTCCCAAATTCAAGGTGATCGGGATCTGAAGCTCATCACTCAACATGTTCCGGCATTCAGTAGTGGTATTATCCGAAAAAAACACCCGTGACTTTGGCCTGCTAACCTGCTGTCCCGATGAAGCTCCGAATAGCTCAAAACAGTCGTTGATCACCTGCGCCTGAGCTCTGGTCGCCTCCCCAAACAAGATCAGATCATCCGCGAAAAAAAGATGGGAGAGTGCTGGGCCGGCTTGCGATAGCTGAATCGGCTTACATCTGCCCCCTCGCACCGTTTCGTCAATAATGTGCCCCAGTCTTTCCATGCAGAGTGTGAACAAGTATGGGGAGAGAGGGCACCCCTGCCGGAGACCTCTTGAAGGCTGAAATTGCTCTGTTAAACCTCCATTCCACTGGATTTGCATCGAAGCTGATGATATACAAGCCATAGTCAAGTCAACAAAATTGCTAGGGGCCCCTGCGGCGATCAAGGTATCTCTAACAAAGCCCCACCGTATCCGGTCATAGGCCTTCGCTAAATCCACCTTCAGAACCATCCAACCCCTCCTACCCCTTCGAGCCCTCATCGAGTGTATGACCTCCTGCAGGATACATATGTTGTCGGTGATATGGCGGCCAGGGACAAAGCTAGTCTGGGTCTCATGGACTAGGGCTGGCATTAAATTCTTCAGTCGCTCTGCCAGGCACTTTGTAACTGCTTTGTAGGCCACATTACATAGGCTGATGGGTCGGAATTGATCGATGGTGATCGGTTGCTGCACCTTCGGGATAAGCACTAGGATAGTAGAGTTTACTTCTTTGATTTTCCCTGGGTTTTCCCAGCAGTCGAGGGCGAAGTTCGTGAGCGATTGGCCAACCGTTCCCCAGCACTTCTGGAAAAAGATCGGGTTGAGACCATCCTTCCCCGGTGCCTTAAGTGCGCCCATAGCCTGGACTGCGCCCCGAATTTCTTCCATGTTTGGCGTAGCAGCTAGTGGCTGCCATCGAGCAGTCTCAATTTCCGGAAAACTTCCCTGTAGGGCAGGTAAATCCCCCTCCCCTCGTCCGTGTACAGCTGGCTGAAGAAGGCACGAGCCATTTCCAAGAGCACAGCCTGCTCTTCGATCCACTCACCTCCGTCGTCCTTCAACATATTCACCCGATTCCTGGTTCTTCTTCTGAGGGTCCTGGAATGGAAGTAAGCCGTGTTCTTGTCACCCGAGCTAATCCACTCGAGCCGGGATTTCTGGCACCAGAGCAACTCTTCTTGAAAAAGTACCAGCTCGAGCTCCTCCTGGGCTTGGTACAGCTGAGCTGAGTTCCCTATCCCATTACCATTCTGCTCTAGCTCTTCAATACGTCGAAGTAGTTTGTCTTTTCTTCTTGTAACATGGCCAAAGACATTCCTGTTCCAAGCTCTTGCATCCCGGGCGAAGGCCTCGGCCGAGGATGTGAAAGAAGTACCCTTAGCCCAAGCTTCATCCATCATCTCCCAGAAAGCATCGTGAGTGAGCCAAGCTGCCAGAAACCGGAAAGGTTTGGGTCCGGCAGGGTCGTGAAGCTCCCTCAGCGAAACGAGAAGAGGCCTATGATCCGACTTGTTCATGCGCGGAAGGTGCCGGACCACTGTTTCTGGGAAGGCTTCGATCCAGACAACATTCCCCATGCCCCGGTCCAGCCGTTCACGGAGCCCCGTTTTGAACCATGTATACGCCGGGCCAACGAAACCCAAATCCACCAGCTCGGTATCCTGCACTGCATCTTGGAAATCGCGAATTCGGGAAGCATCGAAAGGAGCACCCCCTAGCTTCTCGGAAGGGCTAATGATGGAGTTGAAGTCACCCACCAAGAGCCAGGGCTGGGTCATCCCATCCGCAATAGACCTTAAGAGATCTCATAACCCTCGTCGTTGAACCGGGGCAGGACACCCATAGACTGCCGAGAGCTGCCAAGCGATATCCTGCTGCATACGCCCCTGCACCTGCATATGAAGACACTGTTGGTGAGTATGAATTCTGGTGATGGTGAGATCACTCGAATTCCAACTGACCCAAATTCCCCCTGAAAAACCAATAGCATCAACTACAAGCTCGTTGTCATAACCCATTTCACGAATGACTTTCAAAGCGCGGTCCCCACTAATCCTAGGTTCCAAAATAATCACAATATGGGGCTTGAATTTCCTACGGTACTCGCGAAAAGCACGTAAAAAACCCTTACCCCCAGCTCCCCTACAATTCCATGAAAAAATTTTATAATCCATAAAAAAGAGGGTTGGAAAGAGACTCCCTTGAGTTACGCATTGGGCGGGTCGCTCCCGCCAACCTGTTTCCCCGAAGCTCTTGTCTTCATGGTCACTTCCGGAGGCCCCGAGCTCGTGGAGTTGCTGCCGGAACCAGTGTCGGGGGGCCGGCCTTTCCTCCCGGTGTTAGGCGGTGACCGGTCCTGGGTTTCCGTTGACTCCCCGCCACCTTGCATGGGCTGCTCCTCCAAAACTACGTCCTCCCTGCGGACAAGGGTATCCTGCATTTCATGGTCAGTCTGAATGGGTTTGGCCAAGCAGGATTTATTTCCATTTCCCTCAGCTTGCGTAGGTGTCGGGTTTGGGTCGCCCACATCACTGGTTGGGACACTGCCATCCGGGCCACTTTTTTCTTGTTCATGCACCTTAGCATGCTTGTTCCGGCTTTGGATGCGCTGCTGCTTGGTCTTGCTTGGGGCATTATTCTCATTTACAACCTCAGGGGGCACCATGTTCACGTCAGGTTCCTCGTCCAACACCGCAAAACGCGAGCCCCCTCCCCTCTGATGCGCTTCTTCGACAGGCGATCCTCCCCGGTTCGAGGTTGATCCCCCTTCTTTCTTGGCGGGGCGGGGTTTACGTTTAGCGATCATCCACTCCCCATAGATATTTTCATGTTGCGATGGCGGGGAGTTGGGCTCAGGCTCCACATTTTCAGCTTCCATTGGTACCTGCGTCTGGCTACAGTAGCATGCACCGCGTTCAGTATACGTCCCGCACTTCAGGCATATTTTCTCTAGCCCTTCGTACTGGATGAAGTATCGTTTGCCCTTGATTGAGAATTTCGATAGCAAGGGCTTCGTGAGGTCTACCTGCACACAAACCCGGGCGTAGTCACTGCGTGCTGCTGTGCGTGTGGCTTCATCAATCCGAACCGGTTTCCCAATGCGACAACCAATTCTCATCACAGCATCCTCGTGGAAGTACTGGATGGGGATGTCGAGTAACCGGGCCCAAACCAATGTCGATGAGATTTCATGGTTGTACAGATCGAAATCCCGATCCCACATATGCACTGAGAGGTAGTTCTGACCAATCATCCATGGACCATTCGTGATCGCCCGGTCATAGTCTAGACCACTGGTGAACCGGACCAGGAAGTAGTTATTCTTCATGGATGTGACTTGTATCCCTCCTGCCTTAGCCCATATTGTGTTCAGTCGGAGGGAGATCGCTGTATATGATACTGATCGCCCCAACGCTTTAACGACGAGAGCTGACCGGAATTTGCGACAGTACGTACGTTCTTCCGCCGCCGTGAAGTATATCGTCGGACACAAGGGGTCTTCCTCACCCACGAAGCCCTCGTCCAGCCCGTCCTGACGCATCGCTGCTGCGGTATCCTCGCTGTCCGAGTCAGCTGTATACCACTCGTCCATACGTCCTTCGCCGCCGAAGAGCCTGCGGGCTGCCCCCGTCCCCTGCGACCAGACGTTCGCCCTGGGGCTGGGCGGTGGTGATCTCCGATTAGCTTCTTCCTCCCGGCTGTTCACTCCCTCTGGTATCACATGGGTAATCGGGGCTGTTGGTTTTGCCCTCTTCTTTGTGTGCTGCGACTCTCGATCCCCTTTAGGGTTCGGAGAAGAAGATGCCAGCGCTGGCCTGCGCTGGCCGGCCGGCCTGGAAATGAAAAGCCGGCTGGATAGTTCATAGTACAGTAAAGAATATACGACGATGATATTTGTCATTCTTCTTTATGAATTATTGATCTACCACGTGTTTCTTTCTATGTATGTAAAAACGAATTACTTTCCGGACCGGGCCAATGCCCCACTTTCGTTTGTTTTCTGCTCATCAATTATTGGTGTAATGGGTAGCTGGCTGAGAAGAAGAAGTAACTTGGCCATTGGGCGGTGATTTGAGTTGGATATTGCTTCTTTGTGGCTGCTGTGCTTCTCGTTGTTGTTTTCAGGAAGAGGACAAAAGCTGGTGGTTTGCACATGGGCATACTCATTAATCAAGAAATAATTTACTCGATTTATCAGCTGAACTCAATTTTTGCTCGTTAAACCCATTTGGTGAGCCGAGCCGAGCTCGAAGTTGCCTATTAAAGCTCGTATCGAACTCGAGGTGAACTCGAGTTTGAAATTATACGAGCCAAAACGATAACAAAACTCGATTCGACTCGGATCATTGACAATCCTACTTGTAGCTTGCCATACCTTCCCTTTGACGTGAGCACTCACGTATAGAAAGAACTCTTTATTGCCAAGTTGGTGTCCTAAAGCCCGTATGAGTGTGTTCCATTCGAGTTCGACTCCGCGAGCCCACAGAGAAATCAGAGACCGGGCCCAGTAAACCTCTTGGCCCAATTTTCACGCGGGGACTCATATGTTGCAATATAAAACTTAAGAGGCCCAAAACCTTTTGTCATCTCCACCTCTCGAGAGTCGGGACCAAGTAGAACGGAACGAAGGGTTTGCAACTTGGAACAAGCGGAACAGCTCCGCTAGGGTTTTCTTCTCTATTTGCATCTGCGATTTCCTCATCTCGCTCGGTAATTCTCCCGAAAACTTGCTTGCGCTTTGCTGGCTCGCGAAGTTTTTGCATCTTCCATTCCGTCGCGCTTCCAATTTTTCAGCGCAGTTGTATTCTTTGATCTGTTTTCCGCGTCGCCCTTCTGGGGGTTTGTCGAAAGGTGAAGTCTTTCGTGGGAAAGTTAGGATCTTGTAGCTTCCCGTGAGCTTCAGGTGGCTGCTGTCTTCTGGGCAGATGTGTGTTTGTGTTGTTGATTTGTAGATGTTTTGGGCTCTGGGATCTTCAGTTGCAGGTTTGTTTAACGGTTCGTTTTTTCTTGTGTTGCAGATTTCATTGACGCAATGTCTCGCGTTTACATTGGTAATTTGGACCCGCGGGTTAGTGAGCGTGAACTTGAGGACGAGTTCCGGAAATTTGGCGTGATCAGAAGGTTCAACTCTTGCTAATTATTTGTTCCCTATCCAGACTTGTTTGGGTTGAGATGTTTATCTGCCATTCCTTCTTTGTTTTAGTGTCTGAATAGTTAAGTAATTATCAGAAGTTCATGCTATTTCTTAATTGTCGTGTAACTAACTGAAGGTTGTTCTGTTTGTTGTAATTCTAGTGTTTGGGTTGCCCGGCGTCCTCCAGGTTATGCCTTTATTGAATTTGATGACAAAAGGGATGCTCAGGATGCTATTCATGAGCTTGATGGTAAACTTTTTCTGTAAACTGAAGTGGTTGTTTTCACCTTTTGCTTCTTGTGTTGTATTTGTTCTGTGCTGCAACTTTATGTAATAATAATATTATGTCAATTGTTACCCAGGTAAAAATGGATGGAGAGTTGAGATGTCTCACAACTCGAGAGGAGGTGGTGGTAGAGGTGGAGGTGAAGGTGGTAGAGGTGGAGGTGGTCGGTTTGGAGGTTCGGATTTGAAGTGTTATGAGTGTGGAGAGCCTGGTCATTTTGCACGCGAATGCCGCTCACGTGGTGGTTCAGGAAGAAGACGAAGCCCCAGTCCGAGATACAGAAGGAGTCCCGTTTATGGCCGAAGGTTATGTTTGGAACATATTTCTGCATCTTCTCCTAACTTTTGTCGACCTATATGAGTTGTTAGTCTGACTTGGGCTGCTCTCTGGCAGGAGTTACAGTCCTCGTGGTGGAAGATCTCCCAGACGCCGGAGTGTTTCGCCCCGCCAACGCAGCTTCAGCAGGTCACCACCACCATACCGTGGGCGTGAAGAGGCACCAGCCTATGCCAATGGGTGAAGTTTCTGCAACTTTATCTGTTATCATGTCCTGATAATCGTTATTGAATGACCATGGTTCTGCCATTATCATAATTATATTACTGTATCAAATTGATTTAGATTTGTTGATATTTGTTCTTAGTTTCCTTTTGCCACGTGAAACCAATTTTAAGCATTCTCAACTTGATTTAGATTTTATTTAAGGAATGTTAATGCTTTGTTTCTGTTCTAATACCACTGGTTCTGTTTGTTTGCAGCAATGGTCTGAGGGACAGGCGCCGGAGCAGGAGTTAGATATCTTAATATCAATATCACAGCTTCTTTGAAGCTTGTTGGGTTAGACGTGTTTATTGTGTTTGCGCTTCACTACTACTGTGTTGGGGCTCTGCTTCTGAGAATTGGATAAGTTTCCTTCCAACTTATGTGTATGTTAAACTCGTTTTATTTGTTGAGCTGGATTGTTCCTACTAGTTGTGCTAAAGACTTATGGTTTTCCTTTCTGTTGAGGTTTCATCTGCGCCTGCTTCAAATCTTCGGTTGGTTTTGTGCTTCTTCAATACCGGTTTCATTCTCTGCTGCCCATCTTCCGTTGGTTTTGTGCTTCTTCACTTCCAGTTTCATTCTCTGCTGCCCCTGCATTTGCGACCTTCAATTTTGATTCGGTGGGGTCCCTACTGCATATCTAGATGCTTCTGCTTGATTGAACTCTCCTGGCCATGGTCTAGTTCTGTTTGATTGAAATCTCCTGCTTACGATGCTCCGCCCTCAAATTCTATCGGCATTTCATGTGTTTAACGTAAAAGTGGGCCTCCTTCAAACTCTTCTGGCAGGTACTTATATTTGTTCCTCGAATTTGAAAGTTTAGAAGTATTAAGTTGATGGTTTTAAGATATCATAAATAAGAAAATCAATTTGAGTTTTATATTTTCGGACTGCTTTAAGTCCTTTTAAAACAATTGCTCTTCTGTGTCTTCGTTCACTAAGGTTTTAGCATGATGAAGTCGAATGAAGTCTTTGCTTCTTCTATCATACATCTGTTTTGGTCCCTTCCCTCCAAGGTTTTCTGCAATAAGAGGCTGTGTATGATAAACAAGTTTATGTATTTGCTATTTAAAATTATGTCCAAGTGCTGACAGTTCCAAGTTTGTCCTGCGTGTTGAAGTGGCTCTTCACTCATCATGTGCTGGGGACTTTGAACTGCATCATCTAAAGGAACGAATTCCTCTGGGAATCTACTGTATCCTTTGCTGAGTGGAGAGGCTATTTTCCTTAAAGTGGCTCAGCTATCCAAGCCTCACTGGAGCCTTGGTTTGTTCATATCTAAAGGAACAAAATTCAACTGAGAATCTACTGTGCCCTTGTCTGATTCGAGAGGCTATTTTTCTTCAAAGGGCTCAGCAATCCATGCCTCGTTGCAGCCTTGCTTGGTTCTTGGTTTTATAGCCTCTGTTTCATTCGAAAAAGGATACAGATACTCCACCCGTTGCAGGTAAATCGTTTGTGGGGTTGTGGTACTCGGTTTTATCTACGTAGTTAATGTCATCTCGTCTGCCGACAGTAGTGCTGTGCGGGGAAGATGATGATGCTATGCACCTTAGTCTTTAGGTGGAGTTCTCGTCTCTGAAAGCTGATGATTGAGCGGTGGTTAACTTTGTGCTATTTGGTGTATGTCTTGATCTGATTGTAGTGTATGAATTTCCGGATTGTAAGATGTCGCTTCCCTTTTGCCGAGGTTTCTGCAGATATGTAGATTAAGACGGTTTGATTAATGTGTCAGCAGTTGATGCACTTATTTGGTTTCACCTTGTGCACTTTCTTTACCTAAACTTTCTGCTTCACCTCATTCATATTGCACCCATTGTCTACGGGCATAACATTAGCAGGCTGCAGCGAATTGCAGTTTTGATCCTAACGTTCAATTTATCAGGATTATGCACTAAACCAACTTAGGTATATGCTCACATCCTTCGCTTAACGAAACCGATATTGAAGCTCTAGTACTCTAATACGTTTAACCTCTGAATCTCCTGTATTGCTGATTCAACATAGCCTGCTCGTTGGAAACTGCTCTAATCGAATGTTTATAACCATCATCCAGTTTAGCAAGATTGTGGAGGTCTCTAATGCAGCTAACAGCACCATAAAATGATGTGTTAAGAGGGAAAAAGAACCTAGTTTTCACTGTCTCGCGATACTGTCCGACTAAGCAGTGTGACCACAGCGCAGCTGTCAACCCAGAAAAAAGAAGAGGAGCTTGCCATCAATTATCGAGAGAATAAGAGGGGAGAAGATTTCATGTTTGGTTTTCAGTTATCAGATTGGACTTTGAATTCTCATTTTCAGCTTCTTCCATGAGCAGCAGGGAAGATGCGACGGCAGTGACCAAGTTCCACGAGAACAGTCCAAATCCATTAAAAGAGAGTTTTGACGACAGACGCTATGTGACTGCCCAAGAGAAATGTAAAACAAAAGTCGAGGACTTGCTCTGTGAATGCCACCCTCATTCATCCAAAACCTTGCCCTGCACTTGGATTCTTATGCTTGTCAAAGAAAGGCTCTGTTGCTACAGCTTTACTGGTTAAACCACGCACCGACGATCAAATCGGTAAAGTTCTACCCAATCATTAACAGGAAATTTAGTAATGTGATTAACCATCTGCTTGTCCCATATCGTTTATAAGAAACAAACCAAACAGTTGCATATGAAGTCATTAATGGCTGGCCAAACAGTTGGAGGCCTGCCTTCCCCATCTTCAGTTTCCATTTGGTCCACCACTACCACCAAATGCCCACATTCGGGTGAGAGATACGATGGCATCCATCCACACAAACACACACGATGGGAAGTCGGCCAAATAGTACTACTTAATTTCGTCGAAAAATTGTGTCCCCGTTCGCTTTCATAGTCGTTGATGCATCAATCCGAAGCCCAGTAATGTCCGGGTAGACGATGACGCTGTTCATGTTAATGTGAAATCTGACGGTATCAAGTGTGTTGAATTGTTCTGCATCCTCTCTTCATGACATCACATATATGATTTTTTTTGGTCGAACAAAGACATTTGTAGAATGTAGAAAGTGTTTCCTAGTCTCGTATTAAAAAAAATGGGTGACGGGTTGAATTAAGTAGTGATTTTTCTTAGATTTGCTCTTGATGATGGAGCTCCAAAACAAAAACAAAACAAAAAAATGTCGCCCTCATCATCCAACTGCAAAACCAGTTAGAGAGAGAGAGAGAGAGATTGGATTAATTCTCATTATGATATTCTAAATTCTCTACTCTGTTCTCATCGTATTTCGGTAGTTGTCACTCAACGAACTCCAAACGTTCATCCCTCTTTGTTCTCTGTTAAACAATCTTGTATATCAATATTTCCCCACCTTATAATAACTCAATTAAACAATAATATTTCCCCACATGATGCTCTTCACGTCCTTTCTCTCCCCTGTTTGTTTGCCATTCCCCTGCCTTCTTCACATCATGAACATCACTAACAATCTGGGTTCAAGCTTCCAGTTTTTTGGCGCCAGAAAGAATGGACGGCATCAGTGAACCTCTTTGGGTCCAAGTCTGAAACTTTTCCGCCTTCTCTCTCTCTCCCTCTCTTGAGATTCTTAGTTCCCAGCTGAAATGGAGCTGAAGAACAAGAAATTTGTGAAGTAAGTCTCTGCTTTTCAAAAGGCAACCTCTGTTTTTTTTTCAAGACTCTTCCTTTCTGTTTGGTAATCTGATTTCAGGGGTTCCTTTATGTATGAATGTACCAGCTTTGTAGACCACCAGCAGGTCTTGGAGAAGGCGCTGCATTTGCCAACATACAAACCATCTACACCGCCGCCATGGTTGAAATCAGAAGCTGGTTTTGACGAGAGGGATCCCATCATGAGCAAGAAATGGAAGCCGAAGTTTGGCAAGTTTGTTCGTCGCAGTGAAGCTTGGAGGCACGCGATTTTCGATCCGGGAAGTGACATCTGCCTGCAATGGAACAGGGTTTTCCTCTTCTCGTGTCTCGTCGCGCTGTTCGTGGATCCGTTGTTCTTCTACCTCCCGACCATAGTCCAATCGGGAGGTTCGACTTGTATGGCGGTCGACATGAAGCTGGGAATCACGGTGACAAGTTTCAGAAGCATCGCGGATGTGTTCTATCTGATGCACATAGTTTTCAAGTTCAGGACTGCCTATGTAGCTCCAAGTTCAAGGGTTTTCGGCAGAGGGGAACTGGTCATGGATCCATATTCGATTGCAATGCGATATCTGAAAACCGAATTCTTCGTCGATTTCATTGCAGCCTTGCCTCTTCCTCAGGTATGAACTGTACTGCGTGAATGTTTGTTTTATGTTCCAATGCAGGGGATTTTCGGACCAACAACAACTACTAAGCTGACACTATTTGAGTTCATGATATGGCAGATGATGATATGGCTTGTCATACCGGTGATCAAAACGGCGCAGTCTGATTACACCAACAACGCCTTTGTGCTAGTTGTTCTGCTGCAGTACATTCCCAGGTTGTATCTGATTTTCCCATTGAGTTCAGAGATAACCAAAGCCGCCGGAGTTTTGACCGAAACTGCTTGGGCTGGTGCTGCCTACAACCTCGTGCTGTTTATCTTGGCCAGTCATGTAAGCAGAGACTAAAACATCCATTTCAAGTTTAGCCCCTAAGAGCAATGTTGTTTCTGTTCTACAATTTGAATTTCGATCATGTGGCAGGTGATGGGTTCTGCTTGGTATTTGTGTTCGATCGAACGCTATGCGACATGCTGGCAGTCTCTCTGCAAACAGGAGTCTGAATGCCAGTCTACTTACTTGGTTTGTAATAATCTGGATAGAGTGGACCGGAGGGTATGGGCAAGTACTACGAAAGTGTTCAGCACGTGCGATCCCAACAATGCTTCATCAGATGCAACTGTCTTCGATTACGGAATGTTTAAAAAGGCTTTGTCGAAGCAGGTTTCGACTGCTACCTTCACTGAGAAGTACTTGTATTGCCTCTGGTGGGGGATGCAGAACCTGAGGTAACATATCCTGACGAATACTTAACTAGCTTACAGTAGCACGACGACATCCTGAATAGCTAACTTAGGTTGAATGTCTCTCCCCCATGTTCAGTTCCTATGGCCAGAGTTCGAACACAACCACATTCGTCGGTGAAACGGTGTTTGCTATAGCGTTGGCCATCATGGGTCTGGTTCTGTTTGCTCATTTGATTGGGAACATGCAGGTAATGATGCATCATAGTAACTTACTGTACTTCTGTTCTTGAAGGCCATAATGTTTTTTTAGCACGCCCTTTTCCTCAAATTCTTGCTATGGTACATTGCAGACATACTTGCAATCAATCACAGCAAGACTTGAAGAATGGAGACTCAAGAGAAGGGACACTGAAGAGTGGATGAACCATCGCCAACTGCCTCGAAACCTACAAGAGAGAGTGAGGCGATATGTTCAGTACAAGTGGCTAGCAACTCGTGGCGTCGATGAAGAAGCAATCCTGCAACAACTGCCATCTGATATCCGACGAGACATTCAACGCCACCTCTGTTTGGACCTTGTTCGTCGTGTAAGTCAATAACTTGCATTCCAAGCATATCATCCACTTTTACAGTTTCAAGGACCGTGTGATGAAACAAGTGTCTCTCATTTCTATGGCAGGTTCCTTTCTTTTCACAAATGGATGATCAACTCCTAGACGCCATCTGCGAGCGCTTGGTATCCTCGTTGATCACTCATGGGACCTACATTGTTCGTGAAGGCGATCCTGTGACCGAGATGTTGTTCATAATCAGGGGGAGGCTGGAAAGCTCCACAACGGATGGCGGGAGGTCAGGTTTCTTCAACACAATTTCTCTCAGACCGGGGGACTTCTGTGGCGAGGAGTTGCTCGCTTGGGCATTGAATCCGAACTCCAACGACAACTTGCCTTCTTCCACAAGGACAGTGAAGGCATTGGAAGAAGTAGAAGCATTTGCATTACGCTCCGAAGATCTCAGGTTCGTCGCAAACCAGTTCAGACGACTCCACAGCAAGAAGCTGCAGCACACATTCCGGTTCCACTCGCACCATTGGAGGACATGGGCTGCTTGCTTCATTCAAACGGCTTGGCGTCGGTTCAAGATCAGGAGGATGGCACACACCCTGAGCATGTCCGAGTCTTTAATGTCTTCCTTCGCTCTTGTAGACGAGGAGGAAACTGCAACTGCATCGCCCAAACAGAACTTAGTCGTCCAGAGGCTGGCCGAGCGGTTTGCTGCAAACACCAGAAGAGGGAATCGGAAAATAAAGGATGTTAAAATGCCGAAGTTGATGAAGCCCGACGAGCCAGATTTCTCTATAGAGGCAAGTGATGAGGAGAAATGATTCCTTTTCCATTGATTGATTCTTATTGTGAGTCACTCTGTAAGATATTGAGATACCATTTGTTAGAGAAGTTTAAGCTTCTCCATATTCATTGTTAGTTTAGTATTAGTAGATGTATAGAGTTGATACTGTAAGGAACATTCTCATATTTTTGTGCTAAAGCCATAGACCAAATGATTATTTGAAGTCTATATCGAAACCTACTCAATGGGTACTTGCAGATACACGAATACACGCACCTGAGGATACTGCCCTGTAGATATCTGCAGTGTTTGGTTGGTTTAGTAACAAAGAATACAAAATCAAACACCACACCGTTTAGCTCATAGACATAAATAATAGTATCGTTCATATCGAGATTATAATCCATAGCGGTAGTAAACTTGACAAATCGTTCCAAACATCGCTTTACTTACAGGGTAAAGGGCGAACATTTTGTGATCTGAATATCGGTCAGATCCTACATGTCATAACTGGAAGAATACTGATCAAATACTGCCTTACTCGAACCTTAATTGTTCAACACCGGTTGTTAACAAAGTTAACCAGAATGAATCGGTCCCCAGGTTTGAATTTCCCTTGTCATCCAATGACAGAACTAGTTAGACGAATTGACATTACTAAATTCCCAACTCTGTTCTCTTGTATATGCCATATCCCCTGATGCATATAGAAGCCGCCCACCATGACTAAACTAGTAGAATGAATGAATCCCTTCCTATGAAGATTGCTAAATTCCCACTCTGTTCTCATGTATACGTCCTGTGCGAAATATCAACGAGCTTATAATACTCAGTTCCCTAGTTCCCATTGTTTTCTGCTATGCTCTTTGCTGTTTTGTCCCTAAACAGTACAATGTTCTCTCTACTTCTCCCACCTTATACTATTCCCCCTTCTTTCCGTCCTTTCAGCCATTTGTATATTTGCATTTCCCCTGCCTTCTCAATTGAGGATTCAGTTTCTGGCCTATCTATAATGTTGGATTCTCAGGAAGTACTTCCATCATCTGGGGAAGATAGAGGAGTTCAGTTGAGCTCTTCGGGCTAAGTTTACGAGCTTTCAGCGTTCTGTTAGTGCCTCTGATTCAAAGGTAGCCTTTGATTTTCATTTCCCCTTCATGGGTTCGCTTGTGTTCCGCGATCTCTAATCTACATTATTGGGATTCCACCCTTTTTCTGGTTTGTACAGTTTTGTAGACCACAAGGCCATGGAGAAGGTGTTGCACTTGCAGACATATATACCATCCATGATGCAATGGTTGAAATCCGAAACTGGTCTTGACGACAGGGATTCCAAAAGGATTCCAAAGTTTGGCAAGTTCAGAGTTTTCCTGGAGAATAACCATGCCGGCGAGCTTTGGAAGAACAGGATTGTTGATCCAGGAAGTGACATCTCCCTGCAATGGAACAAGGTTTTCCTCATCTCATGCCTGGTCGCTCTCTTCGTCGATCCATTGTTTTTCTACCTTCCGACCATAGTCCAAGCTGAAGGTTCAACATGTATGGCGATCGACTTGAAGCTGGGAATCACAGTGACATGTTTCAGAACTATTGCAGATGTGTTCTATTTGATGCATATAGTTTTCAAGTTCAGGACGGCTTATGTGGCTCCAAGTTCGAGAGTTTTTGGCAGAGGGGAACTGGTAGTGGATCCTGAGTTGATTGCCAGGCGATATTTAAGAACCGATTTCTTTGTTGATTTTATTGCAGCATTGCCTCTCCCTCAGGTTGGGGTGTTTCTCCTCTGTGCGAACTTGCTTTCTTGCATTCTTCTCCAGTTGAAGTGCTGACATTAGTCACCTCATGATATGGCAGATTATGATATGGTTTATAATTCCATTGATCAAGACGGCGCAGTCTGATTACACCAACAATGCCCTTGTACTTGTTGTTCTGCTGCAGTACATTCCCAGATTTTATCTGATATTCCCGTTGAGTTCAGAGATAGCTAAAGCAAATGGAGTAGTGACGAAAACTGCCTGGGCTGGTGCTGCTTACAACCTCGTGTTATACATGCTGGCCAGTCATGTAACATTTCTCTCTTCCTCTCTTCTTCCTCCTCCAACAAGCCACATTGATCAAAGACTTGATATAGTTTGTGTTGTTTGGCTTTGATTTTTGATTACACTGCAGGTGACGGGTTCTGCTTGGTATCTGTGTTCGATCGAGCGCTATGCAACATGCTGGAAATATCTGTGCGAACAAGACATTGAAACTCAAACACGATGCCAGTCTTCTTACTTGGTTTGTAACAATCTAGAAAAGCCTGACAGAAAAGCATGGGCAGGGACTACCAGAGTGTTCAGCAAGTGTGATCCTAACAACGCTTCCGACCCAAACGTATTTGATTATGGAATGTTCTCAAACGCCTTATCAAAGCAGGTTGCTTCTGCTACCTTCACCGAGAAGTACTTGTATTGCCTCTGGTGGGGGCTGCAGAACTTGAGGTAAGCTATGAATAACATATGGTAAAGCCAGTCATGCTAGATGCTACATCCCCCTTACAACAAATGCCTAGCACATTGGACTAGTAAGTGTTGATGTTGCTCCTCTATTTCTGCCCCCCTCAGTTCCTATGCGCAGAGCACAAACACAACCACATTCGTCGGAGAAACTTTGTTTGCCATCGTGTTGGCCGTCATGGGTCTGGTTCTTTTTGCTCATTTGATTGGAAACATGCAGGTAATGAGCTTGCAGTCATTCATCTGTAAACTTCTTTTTATACTTCTTGTTCTAAAGCTCAGCTCAAACCTTCCGGAATTCGCTCTACCACGCAGACGTACTTGCAATCCCTCACTGCTAGACTTGAAGAATGGCGCCTCAAGAGAAGGGACACCGAAGAGTGGATGAGCCATCGCCAACTTCCTCAAAACCTGCGAGGGCGTGTGAGGAGATATGTTCAGTACAAATGGCTAGCAACTCATGGCGTTGATGAAGATGCAATCTTGCACCAACTACCAGCTGATCTTCGTCGAGACATTCAACGACACCTATGTTTGGACCTTGTTCGTCGTGTAAGTGACAACTACTCTTGTGTTTACATACCAAGCAAGAACACCCATTTTACACCTGCAGTTTAACTTCCTCTCCTCATCACAGGTTCCTTTCTTCTCACAAATGGATGATCAGCTCCTAGACGCAATCTGCGAACGCTTGGTCTCGTCATTGATCACTCAGGGCACCTACGTTGTCCGCGAAGGCGATCCAGTAACCGAGATGCTGTTCATAATCCGAGGCAGGCTAGAGAGCTCCACAACAGATGGTGGGAGGTCAGGTTTCTTCAACTCAATCGCTCTCAGACCGGGCGACTTCTGTGGCGAAGAAACCCTTGCTTGGGCATTAGTCCCCAACTCAAATGCCAATTTGCCATCTTCCACAAGAACAGTCACAGCACTGGAAGAAGTAGAAGCATTCGCATTACGCGCAGAAGACCTCAAATTCGTGGCAAACCAATTCAGACGACTCCACAGCAAGAAACTACAGCACACATTCCGGTTCTACTCGCACCAATGGCGCACATGGGCTGCATCGTTCATTCAATCCGCTTGGCACCGCTTCAAGAGGCGGAAGATGGCACACAACCTTAGCATATCAGAGTCATTGTCTAGCTTACCTCTTCTGGAGCACGATGAAACTGAAACAACAGCAGCAGCAGCAGCAGCAGAAGAAGAAGAGATTCCTTCAGAGCCAGAACAGAGCGTGGCTGTCAAGAGGCTGGCCCTGCGATTTGTGGCGAACACCAGAAGAGGGAATCTTAGGGTGAAGGATGTTGAAATGCCTAAGTTGGTTAAGCCTCAAGAGCCAGATTTCTCCAGAGAGGGAAGAGACGAGGGAGGGAGCTTATTTTGAGGAAACCCTTTTGTCGCAGTTCGAATCCATTGATAATGTACCAGAAGGAAAAGGAAAAAAGGAGCGATCTTTGACATGAATTCATGATATATTGATTCACAGAGGAGCTCTGGAAAAGAAAATCCCAAAAAAGAAACAGACTTTGGCATATCCCAACTATTATATAACCGATTGAATGATGCCCGAAGAAGAACTCAGGAAATCAGGGGTCAGACCAACAGGGACGCCGGAGATCGGTGATTCGGTGCTGGAGAAGAGAAAATGAAAAGAGGGATTGGGAAGGATTGAAGTTAGAGAGAGAGTTTCGGAGTTAGTTGGTTATATCGTGACAGCAATAACTCGCCACAATATCCCGATATAATGCGAGTTATGTTAATATGTTACCTTGTATCGTCTATATATGGGATCGGTTAGCATGCTAACCCTTCTAAGGGGTTGGAAAAATGACACCCCTATTAATTATAGTTATTTTTTGTATTAAATTCGTATTGCATTTAATAATATTTGGAAATTAAAAACTCATCTTAATTACATTCCTTTTTTTTAACTACTATTGTACTTATACAACTACCATTGCACCTGTATACTGAACTCGTATTAATTACGTCCCTTTTTTGGAACTACCATTGCACTGATACATCTACCATTGCACCTGTACACAACTACCAGTGCACTGATACAACTACCAGTGCACTGAAAAAAGGAAAGTAATTAATATGTGTTTTTAATTCATACAGATTATTAAATGCAACACAAATTAATTACCTTAAAAACCTATAATTAATAGGGGGTGTCATTTTTCCAACCCTTTTATGGGTAGGCATGCTATCTCATCCCTCTATATAGGGAATCGTAAAATTCAATTAGTTTGGTTTCTTTTCGGGTTTGGGGTTCTGAAACGTTTCTGCTTGTGGAAAAGAGACTTGTGGTTTGATGGGGTAAATTACAATGTTGTTCACTGAAATTACTAAAAACGTTTACGTTTAGTCACTAGAAATATTTAATTTCAATAATGGTCACTAAAATTAGAGAAGTATTTCAAATTTGGTCACTCTCCGTTAACTTCCGTTATTTTCCGTTAACGACGTCAATTTTTTGCTGACGTGGCTAACAGATATGCTCATTCACCCAATTCTAACCCGCCATGTCATAAAACCCGCCACGTCAGACCCTCTACATAACAAAACCAATTCAACCGCTGACTAAACCGAACCCGATCTGACCCACCACCATTTCACCTCCCCACCACCGTCGCCTCGCCTCACCACCGACGGAAACAACGCCAGCTCCCTCGATCCGTCTAAGGTCCTCCGTCATCGCTGTTGACTTGAATCGATGTCGGCTCTTGCCCTCAAATTCAGAGGCAAAGCCTTGGTCTAGTTGATCTGAAAGTTTCTGGTGGGAGCGGTGACCTGGTGCTCTTTCAGCGACGACGGTGGTTTCCAAAGGGCAATCGGGTGCTAGGGTTTGGGGTGGACTAGATTTGTGTTTTGGTCCCTCGTAAGGACCCTATTGAGTACCAATTTTGTGGGTGAGCCTTTAAGTTTAGCTTGTTTTTCAAACTTTGGTGCGTCGATGGTAACTTTTCCTCTCGGCTTGACCCATTTACTTCTTAATGAATCCCAAACTTAAAAAAAAAAAACAAAAAATCTCACTATCGAAAATGTGGGCCGAGCCTTTTGATGTGCCTTCTTTTATGCTGAGGAGACTATACCCACCTTAACTCGTGTTTACACGCTAACAATATAGACTTGGCGACGCGGTCACTGGGCATGAGAATGAGACCTCGTCGCCACAATGTGTTGCTCACTATACATTGCCACCTTACACAAGCAGCTACGCGCACCTTGACTCGTACCTATGCCCACCGTCGATGACTTAGCGACTCGACCTTAAAATTAAATTTCACAATGCACAAGTCAAGTCAAAATTCGATTGTAACAGTGGGGAGGGAGACCATGATCCATTTATGATTTCTCTTATTATAATAATGCAACCACCACCGTGCTCCACACCTGTTCTTCATATGCAGTTTGTCCAACTACAAAGCTAGTCCTTTGAATTGAATGAATTGAGTGCCATAACTACAACTTGTGGTACGTGCAATCAGGTCCATTGCAGTTACTACACAGTAAACTCACCATGTTCTTGTTCCCAAGTGGCCAAGTCCCAACTACATCAATATATATACAGGATCTGTTAATTAGCTTTGATTTCTTAGATTAATGGACGGCTAAACATTCGTCGGCGCATGCTGCCAAACACCATCATCTTTGAAATAAAGCCAGAAGAGATTAAGCCAGCTTCTGCAGACAAAGGGGATTTTTTTTTTTTAAGACTGAAACCTTCCAAAGTTCCATTCTTGTTCCTTCCTTCCTTCCTTCCTTTCCAACACTTGATCAAGTTTGACTAGTTGAGTAGGCGAAACAAAAAGCAGAGTAATAGCAACAAACAGAAGCACAAGCAGACACGTTGGAAAACCGGTAAGATGTCAAGTTCAGACAAAGAGTGATCGTTTCTGCTGTGGTGTTGTTTCTTAATTATGAGCCAGCCAGCCAGCGACCCACCAGCCCAATATAAAAGAACACAAGAATCATCATATGCCCACAAAAGATCGATTGTCTCCTTCCTTCCATAAACAATGGGAAAAAAGAAAGGTCCCCTTTTCTGCTTAATACAACTACCAGTAAACTTTCAGTCAAGTGCTCTTTGATTGCTACACCAACTCAAACCTCAGCCACCACAACACAATTTACCTCCTTTTGCCTTCCCCTGCCGACACTTCCCTTCCCTCTTGTCCTTTCCTTTACCTTAAAGCTGGTATTAAATTATAAGATAGCTGACTGATTTCTGTAACTTCCAAAGTGGGTTCATTTTTCATCCATGGAGTTCCCAACGTGTTACCCTTTTTCCTCACGAGGAATCCATGGGGTAATCTGGGAAAACCCCATGAAGTTTCTTTCTCTTCAGGGCTGGTCATATCATAGCAGGGCTGATTGCACTTTGTTGCAGAGAAATGAAGAGCATGCAGAGATACAGATATGACAAGCATGTTTATGTGCTGTTATATGAAATAGATCAATAAAAAGGGTGGAAGAATTTCGAATTTACATCACAAAAGTGTTATCTTACAGAGTCTGATACCATCTCCCTTACAAAACACTACAGGAGGAAGGAAAGCAATCTCATAACTTGGACCTCACTCTTTTAACTGTATTTTTTTTCTCCGGGTTTTTACAGCTGCCCCAGAACGTTTACTTGAATCTAAACTCCACTAGAATCACTGTCTATGACAGCCAACAACAACCAATGATGACTTGAATTCAAATAAAAAGCTAGAAGAAAACCCTCCTATAAGAAATAAAAACAAATCAAAGAGGTGATAATGATATGCTGTTGTGTTCATAAGAGGAAATGGGCGGAGGTGGGAAAAAGAATTATAAGAATCCTAAAAATGTCTTGAAACTAAATGTGGGAGAGACAGAAATTTGCATTTATTCAAGTTAAAACAAGGAACGAGAAAGTACTACTTCCTTTTTGTTGCAGCCAGCCAGATACCAACAAGATGAATCTGCAGAGAGTAGTAGTAGGGCAAAATGGGCTGCCTTCCTTGTATGCATGCATGCATGCATCTTCCAAAGCTTCTCTCAGCTCATTTGCTCTCCAATGAGGTCCAAACCCACCAAGAGGAAGGTCACACCTTGGAACAGAAGGAAGTAGAAATGGACTCCTTGAGCAGACAACAAGCTCCTGACTGAAGCTGTGAGCAATAGGAATGCTAGAGCCAACTCCTTCCTGTATATTTTGTTCACCTTCTTCTTCGGTTTCGACACTGATTCTGCCTTCTCCTGCAGTAAACTCAACTGCCCAATCTCACTTTCTGAAGCTCCTCTGTGTAACTGAGGCTGAATCATTGAGGGCTTCGATTCCCTCTCAGCAGCAGCCAGTAGGTCTGATTCTGATGACCTGCCAGCCTTTTTCGTAACGACCCATTCATAAGAGCTTCCCAACTGGAATAACCCGGAGACCATCGCGTTGAACTTGGTGACAGACATTGTGTTTTCGAAAAGAAGGTAAGGGACGATGAAAGGGAAAGATTTGGGAGCTGGAACGATGTTCATGAACGACATTACGATGGGGACATAACAGATGACCCACAGTGGGAGTTCGGCTTCTGGGACGAACATGGTCAGTGGGAGGATTATGCAGAATAGTGTGAAGGAATAGAATGGCAGGATTAGCTTTCTCAGTAGGAAGAAGAGGAATATCAAGTTTGCCTTCTTCCATAATGCTATCTGCAAAATATTGAACCAACCAGTAAAAGGCTCAAGTCAGGTACATTTCTTTTGGCTTAGAAAATAACATCGAGAAAGAGTGTTTTTTCCCCTTCTTTCGACATACCTTGGATGTTACTATTGCAGGAAGACACAAGCGGAAAAGCTGCATTGGGCCGGAATGCCAGCGATGCTGCTGTTTTCTATAAGCTTCATAGGACTCAGGAAGTTCACAGAGGACCTAAATATGTAACAAAGTTAGTTTATTTGGACTTGTTGTGGACATTTTTAGTCATAGAAGCATTCATTTCTCAGTTCAGTTGTTTCAGGTTTTCTGTAATAGAGTCAAGAGTATACCTTGACATCATTAAGGAAGATGAATTTCCAGCCATTGAGATGGGCACGAACAGCAATGTCCATGTCCTCGACGGTTGTTCTCTCGAGCCATCCACCGGATTCCTCGAGGGCCTTGATTCTCCAAACGCCAGCAGTTCCATTAAAGCCAAAGAAATTCATGAAGACACCATTAACTTGCTGTTCGACCTCGAAGTGGAAACACAGGTTGATGTTCTGTAAACGAGTCAGCAAATTTTCATCCTTGTTCACAAATGACCATCTCGCCTGAACCAGCCCCAGTTCAGGATTGTCCTGAAACAACAAGATAAATAAGGCAAGGCATACTTAAGAACACTGTAACGATATTTTATCACGAAATTTGCATAATGCCTGCCATTCATACTCCTATTCACCTTAAAATGTGGCACGGTCAACTTGAGATAGTCAGGGTTAGGCTGGAAGTCAGCATCAAAAATTGCAACGAACTCATAATCCTTGACATATTCACAGCCCATTGCTGAATTGAGGTTTCCAGCTTTGTAACCAGTTCTAAGCAGCCTATGCCTATAGATAATGTTGACCCCCTTTTGTCTCCATTTATCAACCTCTCCTTTAATTAACCACTGGATGTCCACATCATCCGAATCATCAAGAACTTGGATCAAGATCCTGTCTTTCGGCCAATCGAGCTGGCAAACCGCAGAGATTGACTGATCATACACCTGCCGACAATCCAATATCCATCAGCACAGTAATTTCCACAATGTCCATTGTAAGAACTAAACATTTCCCATCCAAAACATGAAGCCAATTGAGAACAATGCAAAATGCAGGACTCACAGAAAGCTAGCTAAAAACCCGTATAAGCAATTAGTTGAGTTGGAAACTACCTCTCTCTCATTACACATTGGAATTTGAACAAGAACCATGGGGCACTTATAATCCAAGGCCTCAATATCTGGAGACTTGAAGGGATCTCCTCCCCGAATCTCGGGCTTAATCCTCTTAAACTTAATCCACAAACAACCTAAACAGAGCACCAAACGGTCCACAGACTGCACAAGGAACAGAGCGACGCAGAAATTGGAGAGACCCATAATGGCTGGAGCGATGTAATCGGCTCGAAAATTCAGCCAAGCAACATAGACCATGTGAAGCAAATTGGGAGCAGCCATTGGAATCCGATGAAGATATTCAGCAGCAGCAGACGCCTCGAAATAATGCCAGCCTTTGAGATAAGCAGCAACTTCAAACCCCAAAATTACCAGAGAAGTGACTAAGAAAACCCTGATAACACGAAGGACCAACTTCCCTTTGCCGAGCTTCTCAGTGGCGACTGTGACCCCTTCCCTGAAAAAGAGGCGCTTTTTGATGGTACCAAGCAATGCCCAGAAGAGGCCGGCGAGCCAGGCCACGCAGCCGACGGCACGGTGAGCTTTGAGAAGTAAAACCCATCTGACTTGCTTCGCGTTTCTGCCTCTGCTCTTGTCCACCGGCCGGAATGCAGCATCGGGGCCGTCGATTTCAACCACCGAGTAGTTTGGGTTCTCCATTTTCACCACCACCGGAGTTCCTCCACCATTCTTGCTCTCCTTCCCCATCAGCACCGAAAAACCTAACCTTGGAGCCATTTCTGTGCTCTTTTTCCCCCCTTTCTCCCTCTTTTTTGCTTCTGTACTTACTCACTCTCTCACTCACTGTCCTTTTTTTTTTTTAACTAAATCAAGTAAAAATTAAAAAAAGGGACCAGCATCCAGAAAACCCAAGAAGGAAAACACGAAGATTTTCAGAACCCAGATCCCAAAACTAGGAAGAGAACGAAACCCATTTCCGGAAGTTGCAGAAATGAAGGAAGCAGTAGATCCATGAAAGCTCACTCCACCGACTGGGAAAGTGCAGGCAGTGGAGGATGAACAGCTATAACAGATAATACTTACAAGAAGCACATTGTGGGGGAGGCGGCAGCTAGAGGAGATGTTTTATTGTACTGTCAGAAGGGCTTCCTCTAGAAGAGAAGGGAAGCAGAGAAGAGGGAGCAAGAATTCTCCTACAAGTTCATTTCCTTCCTTTTGTTTTCCTTTCGGTGGTGAGCTTAGGGAGAGATGGAAGGTATATAGACAGCTGTAAGAATGGTAGCAACATGTGTTCGTGTACTCCCCTTTTTTTCATGGTCCATTAAACCGTATGGTACTGGTGGTTCAACCACAAAATACCAGTATTGGAGGCTAAATCGATAAGCGGTATCTAATGGTATTAATGGTTGAACTATAGTTCATTCACGGTTTTGCCATAAAATACCCTACTATTGACTTTTCCGATACGGTCTCCGGTACGGTTTCTTGAACCATGTTTTTTTCCCTTTTTGGTTTTTGTTTTCATTTTAGCTGGTAATTGTATCCAGGTTGTTGAATGAGGTAGACGGTAAGTACTCGATTATGTCACTCCAATTGTTAGAGTTAGGGATGGACATTAATGTTTGTGTACAAAATGTGAATACATAATTACCTCTTTCTTTTCCGATACGGTCTCTGGTACGGTTTCATGGACCACGCTTTTTTCCCTTTTTGGTTTTTGTTTTCATTTTAGCTGGTAATTATATCCAGGTTGTTGAATGAGGTAGACGGTAAGTACGTGATTATGTCACTCCAATTGTTAGAGTTAGGGATGGACATTAATGTTTGTGTACAAAATGTGAATACATAATTACCTCTTTCTTTTTTTAACATTTGATTCGATGAACTGAACAATATAATACGATGAGAAAGCACATAATCAGACGTTATAAACATGATATCGACACCTGCCCAGCCAACGGATAGACATATAAAAAAACAAGATTTTCGATGAACTAACTGTAAACTTAAACAAACAAAACAAATAACGAGTGTCACATGTTGAGAGTTTTACGATATCTGTTCAGTATCATAATCGGATAAACCAATAATCATTTATTATTACTATTCTTAGAAATTAGCTCCACCAACTTACTTCCCTGAGGAAGTTCCCATTCGGGGTGAAGAATGATTGGAACAAGTTCAATCATCATCATTTTCATAAGCAAAACAAGAAAGACATTTTAACAGTAATGACTAGACAAAGTTCAACAAAATGGGGAAGAATAATTTGTTGACAATAAGGTTGACTGGGAAGTAAAACTCATACTCTCATAGTCATGGACAAATCTACTTGACTGTTGTTTTTCTTTCCTTCCTTTTTCCCCACCTCATCCATGTTTAATAAAATGAATAATATAAATATTCTCATTAGAATTTAAAAAATATTATCAGGTTGCAGGTGAGGTGAGAGGAATTAAAAATAATTATTACTCAAGCTCAATTGATAATACTTTGTCCAAATATGGTGGCGGGGAGTTGAGGAATCCAAGGACTGCAGGGGAGAGAATTCTGGATCCATATTTCATGCTTTCACCCAATCCAAGCTAAATTATTGGTTAGAAAGAAAGAAAATGAAAGAATTCCGATGGGTATTACAGTTTTATAATCAAAATTTTCGGATCGTCCAGAGGATAGAAGAAACATCTTATCAAATCTTCAATAACTTTCAATCTCTAGCGAAGTTCTCTATAAAATTATTATCTGGATGAAGTCATGGTCATTTGTCAAATCTTCGGTAACTTTCGAAAGAATATCGTAAGATTCTCAATAACCTCTTTTGATTTCTTCAAGTAATAGATACTTACTTACCACCTTCTTCTCGCAAGAGCTAAAGCACATGTTTTTTTTTTTTTTGGAAATCGAGTTTAACAACCACGTAATCAGCTCGCTGGTTATTGAAGTACATGTTTTTATGCATTATATTGTTTCCCAATCTTCGTTTCGATAGGATTATCATGTATTTGTATCAAACATATTCCACAATTCGTACAATCATACGAGACTCAATACTACAAATTACAATACTTATAAACCAAACATTGCATTACATGAGTCCTTACAAACCCACTTATAAAAACCCAATGAATTCCAAAATTCCTCATTTCTTACACTACTTTTGGTAAGTACCTATTGAGTTGCTAGAATATTGTATTTGATGTAATGGAATTTAGCTGGTGAAACACCCATATATGTGTACTAAAAATAGGTGACGATATTCTTCCTAAAGATAGAGAAAATGCCTCGAGCCAATGTTCCCACGTTATTTATTTCCAAAAATTCAGTGCTATAAACAAAATTATGTAAACCGTACTAAGTTTGATGGAAACACCAAAAACTTTTACATCAAGTGGATAAAATGATGTGCCTGTAATAATAATCCATCCTATGAAGAAGAAGAAGAAGAGAGAGATGTCGGTTATGTGAAAAATGAGGAAAAAGGATATTCCCTTCCGTTTTGGCCATTTTGTACAGAACAGAAAAGCCAACAAAAAGGCCATTCATTATCACAATATCAAATGAGAAAAAGACTTTCAATTGTGCTTTGCTTTGGTCCCTCTCTTTGCAAACAAAACACCACCACCACCATTTGCCCACCTTTCTCTACTTTGGTAGTGACCTAGCCAAGACAAATCCACCGATCCATCTATGGATTGTATTGCCAACACTTTCCTTTCAGTTTGTATCTCACAAAAACAAAAAGAGGTGGTCATTTTTGTCTTGCCATTTATCTTTTTGGGATTTTGCTACCATACTTCTTGGAGGGTATAACACCGTTAAATCGAACGTAATGTGATTTCAATCGCTGAATGCATGTATTTTTTACGATTGAAATCATGGTACCATATGATCTAAGCGATGTGGATTCTCGATCATGTATGTTCCTCAATTTGTTGATCAAGCTGGTTGCTTTGTATTACTAACGTCCAACTCATAAACATTACTAACTGGACTAAACAGTCAATATATGCTAACGAAACGTATCCTTTCTGTGAAAGCTATCTTATAGGATGCCAAAGCAGTCGAAATTAATGCAATCTTAAACTAATTACGCAGAAACCAAAATATTTATAATACAGATACACCGTATTTTGAGAATTTCGTTTTATTATAACATTAAAAAAAATAAAGAGTGATTACTTAACAATTGAAATCACGAAACCATACGATCCTATGATGTTGACTCCTGCTCATGTCTACCCCCTCAATTTGCTTATCAAACTGATTATTCCGAAATACTAACGTCCAACTCTATCATCTTGCCAAAGGACTCAAAATTTAGTTATATGTAAATATTAAACTAATCATGCAGGCCCCCAAAACACATATATAATACAAATACACCATACTTGAGAAATTCTTTTTATCAGGACAAAAAAGAATGAAGAATGATTACTTTAATACCAAATTCTGGTTTAATTTAAAGTACGGTGTGCAACTTGAAACACTAATATAATGTTTCCTTCAAACCCCACTGACTTAAAATACTGAAAAGGCAAAGGAATTAACAAATGCTGAGAATCATCAGATGATTGAATTCTTCTGATGATGCAAGATTGGAATGTAATCCATAAGAGTATGTTATCACTCACCAGACCCACTGATCTTTGTTATCATGGCTCTCAAGGCTTGAAAACAACCAGGTCGACCTCTTCCCACCAACTGGCCTGATCTAACTACTTGTGTATATTACTCGGTACCGGCTTGATCGTTGGAGTGTAGATTAATCGAGGATCGTTTTCCCCTGAGTTTCAAACTTTGTTGTAATCCATTGAATGAACTCAAAAGAAAACAAAACTCTGACTTAAGTTCAGTTTCATGCGCTTATACTTGACAACAGTATGTGATTGTTTGCTTGTATGTGATGCAAGGGAATGGTCATTTTGCCCCTTTAGGTTTTTGTAGAATCGGCTACTCTACAGTGTCTTGCTTCGGCTCACAGAGCTGCAGCTTCAACATTCAAACGAAAGACATACCAGTCTACGAAGCATCAATCTGACTCCTTACAATGAGCTTGTCTTCTTCTTCTTCAAATACCGAGAACGCATCCTTCGTTCATTCGCTTAATTTGCAGTACCTCATGTCAAGCCACCTTTGCACCAGAGCTGCAAATTTAACCCGAGAATACGTTATGACTTATGCGATCATACACAAATATAGAAGCGTATACTGCGACAAATTTCCAGTCTTTCAAGCAACCCAATTTCTCAAAAGCAGAAGCAGCAAGTTGGAGGAAGTCTGAGCCATATGCCCATATCCATTTCCAGGTACCTTGTGCTCATCAGAAAATGGAGAACAGTAAAGGAAGGGTACTCTTATATGCCATTTCGCTCATACAATTTCTCATAGTTAAAAAGCAACTATACAATGTGCATCAAAGCAACTGGAAAACAGCAATTTGAATCATCTACTGTGGTAATAATGCAAGACAAAACTGGCAAACTCTACCTATTACTTTCGATGTGCCTCTATATCTGGCGTTAGCTTCTGTGGCCTGTTTTTCCTCTGCCGATATTTGGCGTACGAATACCACACTCCACCAGCTGTGTTGATGACCAGACCAGTCACGTTCAGACCATGCACTTTCACCCCGCCAAGTAAGAAGAAACCAAGAGTCTGAACCAGAATCATCAAAAGACACGTCAAGCTCAGACCTTTATGCAGAGTATCTGATCCAACATCTCATTAACAAACGAATACCCAAAACCCGATTCACCCCCACAACACAATTCTAATTAGTGAACAAGCTTAAGGTGAATTGGTCTTACCGTGGATCCAACACCTTTGAGAACGCCTACTATAGTTGTTGTCAGAGCTGAGTTGACTATCGTACATAGGAACATGGTGTAGTTGAGAATGATCCCCATCACCAATGAAAGAATGAGTATCACCAAAAATGACAAGGAATTACTCTGTCCACAGAAGCATGAAAAAGATTGTGTTGCTTCAATAAATCATCAGTAGTGGATACAAATTCATGGCAAGGACGGCACATTATAATGCTTAGGCAAGAGTCCTTCATGTAATATTGCCAGAGAACAGACACATTGTTAAGTACAGGCTATGCGGTGAAGGTGATCTAAGAATTTGAGGCTTCAATTATAACTTAGCGATGCATGGTGACAATTATCAAGTATTTTGGCTTTAGCACCGTCGAAAATTTCATTTCTTTCAACTTTCAAGAGGATAAAGAAAAAATCACGACTAAAGGCAAAAATGTTAAGATCTCTCTTACCTTTGCGATTAACAACACCAAAGAGTCGGGAAATTCTCGAGTAACGATGATGAGGAACATCAAGAATGGAAGAGACAAGAAGCTGTTGTAGAACATTATCTCAACTGAAGAAAGCCCATCTTCTGCACCAGACTTCTCCACTAAAACAAGGTACATTGTCTGCATAACACAGAAAGCACTAGTACCATCAGCAACAAAAAACGACTAACTCAAGATGTAGTTGAAGGCCTCAAACGCTGTTAAAATTGGTAATAGACTAACCTGGAAGAAAACAGAAACAAATGCCAGGCCGTAACCAAACACATCGAATGAAAAATCTCCAAGCGCTGCGATAACAACCCCTCCAGCAGTCAGCAGGACGGATAGAGTCACCTGAAAATATGACAAAGACGTGTTAATGTTTGAACAAATCGATACACAAAAGGAACTCAAGCCCACCACTCATATGAAGAAGCATTTCAAAAGAGCAAATGTGGACCTGCGTTGAAGGCCTTCCTTTCCCAGCGAAAAAGCCAGCAATCAGCACAGCAAGAGGAGTCAGCCTCTTGATGGCAATATACATGGGAATGTTAACCCCTTTCAAGCTGGCCAGAGCGAATGCCACATTGGCATTGTAGAAGAGAGAAACAGGGAGAAGTCTCTTAGCTGTTTGGAGATCGAGTCCCTTCGATCTCGTGTATCCCGTTTTCCGCCCAACATGTATAAGCAAAGCTGTAGCCACTTGCTAAGGAAACAACCACGCAACCAAGACGAAACCTTTAAGCAATGATTATGAGCCAAAATTTTGCATTTTATAGCCAGAGGAATGTGGAAGAAATGAGGTTTTACTTGGAGAGTGAGAAGTGTCATAGAGTGAGAATACTGCATAACAATGGCCTTGTTGATAAACACCATCGCCATTGAAGCAATCCCATATGAAATCGCCGCAAACAAACTGTGTGAACAAGGAAAGATCAGGGTCCTTTCTTAAAACAAGAAAATATCAGTGCATTTAACAATATCTAGACTTAAAAGTTCAGAAATAACTTGCTAAAGCTTCCAAATTTAACATGACAAGTCTGAAACCCGCACTTGAATTGCATGAAACATAGTGAAATGAGACTGAGTATAGTTCTGCATCAAGTGAATGGCCATGAATAGGCAGCAAATGGGAAAGATGAAACAAGTAAAGAACCTGAGAAAAGAACTTGGGTCAGCATCACTGCGATTCTCCATGGCTCCCGATCTACCAAAAGAAACTGGACAAATGTCTCTCACCCGGCTCTCTTGAACTATTATCACATAATCCAATTCCCAAACGCAATTGAAACTGCAAATCAGAAACCAACCCAAAGTCGCTTGCTTGAAAGAGAATTCAGATGAAAGGGGTCGAAACAGAAAGGAAGCAATGATATCGGATCCAGAATCGCAAAGAAGTACGGACCTGAAAGGAGTGCAGCGGCGGGATTCAATTGACAGTGCGAGAGAACCGCATTAAGAACTGGAGCCGGATTGTTGGGTTTTCCCGTGAATCTACGGGGAAGAAGTCATTAGTGGGTAACGTTCGAAGAAGAGAAGAGGCGTGGGTGCGCGGGGAGAGCGGCGTGGTGTTTGGCTGCTGTGGGAGTTTGGAAGTTAGTGAATTGCAGTACAAGATGTGTTGCTATTAAATTTTTTCATCTGGGTTTTTACTGTTATAGTGAAAAAGGAATCGCCATTAACAGGAAGCTGGATGGGAACTTGGGAAGGGAAGGAGATGGTGAGTTGAAGCTGTTGGGCCTTGTCGATCAACTAGTCAGAGTCCATCGCAGGCCCGAAGGCACTCGTGGCCCACTAAACCTACTCACTCTGTCGTCTCCCCACTCCAAGACCTATTCGCGTCTGCGCCTTTAATTCCTTCATCAAAATCATCGAAAGAACGACGAAGGAGAACGAAGGAAGAGTTCTCTGCACATCGATCTTCGCCCTCATCAAAGCAGCTCAACGGTACAATGCAATAAAGAAGATCGAGCAAGGGAACACTCACAGAGGCTATAAATGGAGCTTATCTCGAAGAAGAAGGCGACGGTTTCCTCGGCTCAGTAGAACTGGTTAGTTCCTTGGGAGCCTTAGGATTGGGTTCTGTTTATCTGTGTCTGGTTGAATTAGAGTTGGGGCTTCGAGCCAGGAACTCTAATTCTTCTGGGCATAGCGTGTGTTCGTGTCTCTTGTTCCTTTCTTTGTCTTTCAGCTCGAAGTTTGCTTTCGTACTGTTGATGAGATTGACTCTATATTTATATAAGGAACTCAATCATTCCCTCAATTCTCTTCTGTGGGTTTGCCTTTAATGGATTTCGAACTTGGTAATTGATTGTGTGAGATTGATACATAGACATAGTTGGATAACAATTGGTATCAGAGCCTCCTTTTCGTGGAACTCTCTGTTGCCGAGAAGGAGATCCTCTATCATCTATGTCTTCTCAATCCTTCCCCACCAGTTCTAATCCACCATGGTTCTCTGGTAGTAATTACTCTGTATGGAAGAAAAGAATGAGACTTTACCTCCGAGGAATCGATTGTGATCTATGGGAAATTGTCCGTAATGGACCAATTGACATGAAAGATGATGATGAGGAGGATTGGTCTGATGCACAAAAGAAAAGTGCACAATTAGATTCTAGGGCTATGCACATTCTTCTCTCTGCAATCTCAGATGATGAAGGAGAGAGAGTAAATAAATGTGAAACAGCCAAAGAAATATGGTCTATACTTGAAACTACACACGAAGGAACTTCAGAAGTAAAAGAAACTAGGATTGATTTGCTGTTAAAAGAATATGAAACATTTGACATGCTGTCTGGAGAATCAATATCTGAAATGGATAAAAGGTTTTCCACCCTGGTCAACAGACTAAAGGGACTGGGGAAAACATTTTCAAGTAAAGAACTGGTCAGAAAGGTTCTTAGGTCACTTCCTCTTGAATGGATGGCAAAAAGGACCGCCATTGAGGAAGCAAAAGACCTTAACGTTCTTTCTCTTGAAAACTTAATTGGCTCCCTTCTAAGCCATGAAGAAGTCCTTAAGCAAATGAATTCGATTCAGGATAAGAAAAATAAATCCATAGCATTTAATACTTCCTATTCCAATGAAGGAGAAAAGCTGGATGAGGAGTTCGAAAATGAACTAGCCCTTACCAGTAAAAAACTCCAAAGAATGATCAGGTTCAAGCATGATCAGAACAATAAGAGAGAAAACCAGAATAATAATTATAATAACAGATCATCTGGGCACCAGTTCAATAATTCCTCTAGAACATATGGACATCAATCTAGTGGAACCAATCCCTTTGGTTCTAACAGAGGTGATAGCGGTCCTAAAGACAACAAAAACTCAAATAACAGCAAGAATGACTCAACCATCTGCTTTAAATGTGGCAAAACAGGTCATGTTAGGGCTAACTGCCCTCTGAATAAAAGGAAAGAAAAGGCGATGGTGGCATCATGGAGCGACTACAGCTCAGAGGATGAGTCAGAAGCTATGGCCTTCATGGGTCTTAACTCCAAGGAAGAAGATGATCCTAGTGATCAGGTATGGTCTGAATCATCCTCTGAACTTCCTTCTGATAATCAAAATGAAGACTTCTTTCTCCATGCTCTTTCAAATCTGCAAGAAGAATGTAACAGGTTAAAAAGTAAATTTTGCCTCACCATGTCACAACTTCATGAAAAGGAATCTGAAATCGTGCGTCTTAAGGATCTAGTTAATGTTCAACAAATTGCTCAGCACACTCAAGATAATCAAATTGCATCTCTTTCCAATGAAAACAAAAGGCTTAAGAATGAAATCAACTACTGCCATCAAGTGATGAGAAAGAATTATCTTCTTCCTCAATACTTTAAGAATAACAACCGCTTCAGAAAAGCCTATAAACCTGTTGTTCACCTTCAACCATCATCTGCTCGTTATATTCCACTATCATGTTCATTTTGCAAAAAGTCAGGACACGATTTTTATCACTGTTATTCAAAGAAAAGTAAACCCAAACTCGTTTGGGTTGCTAAAAGTTCTAACTAATCTTCTTTTCTTTTTCAGAACAATAAAGATGCTAATATCTGGTACTTAGATTCCGGATGCTCGCATCATATGACTGGTAATAAAGAACTTTTTACTTTTCTAAATCCAAAAAGGGGAGGTAAAGTATTTTATGGTAACAATAACTGTGCTACTGTTGTTGGTAAAGGTACTATAAGTAGCAATCCATCTCTGATTATAGAAGATGTTCTGTATGTTGATGGGCTAAAACACAACCTACTATCTATCAGCCAAATATGTGGTTCCACCTATAGTGTAACCTTTGATCCTTTCTGCTGCACTATTGAAAGGATTTCTGATAAGACAGTAATCTTTAAAGGAAAGAAAATAAACAATGTTTATACTATAGACCTAGCTACTCTGGATCTTTCTGAAAACATTTGTTTAAGCTCCTTCTCTGAGAATGCTACAATCTGGCATAGAAACCTAGGTCACTTGAGCTTCTCTAGACTATCTAACCTATCTAAACTCAACCTTGTTAGAGGTTTGCCTGAAATTAAAGGGTCAGAGAAGTTTACTTGTGAGGCTTGCATACTTGGAAAGCATTGTAAAAAGTCATTTAAAAGTAAAAAGGATATCACAACTTCCTCCACCTTTGAACTAATTCATATGGACCTATTTGGCCCTACTAATGTGCAAAGTCTTGGAGGAAAGTCATATGTACTTGTAATCGTTGATGATTACTCCAGATACTCATGGATTTATCTCTTAGCATCTAAAGATGAAGCTTTCAACAAATTTAGATCCTTTGCTGCCCTAGTGAAAAATCAGTTTGGCTGTTTAATTAAAAGCATTAGAAGTGATAATGGTGGTGAGTTTATAAACTGTGATTTTGAAAACTTCTGTGATCATCATGGTATTCTTCACACTTTCTCGGCACCTAGAACTCCACAACAGAATGGTGTTGTGGAGAGAAAAAATCGTTCAATCATTGAGACAGCTAGAACTATGCTCTTAGAGTTTGATTGCCCTAAGTTTCTTTGGGGGGAGGCAGTGAACACTGCCTGTTATACATTAAATCGTACTACTATTCGCAAGCATGTTAATAAAACCCCTTATGAAATTTTGAAAGGGAAACAACCTAAGATATCATACTTTCATCCTTTCGGGTCAAAATGTTACATACTGAACACCAAAGACTCACTCGGCAAATTCGATGCAAAATCAGATATTGCCTCATTTCTAGGTTATTCAACTAAAGGGCAGGCATACAGGGTGTTCAACAATAGGACCAGGAAAGTTGAAGAATCAGTTCATGTTAGATTTGATAATTCTGAACCCAATTCCCCTTTACAATCTAATATCTGTGACTATGACTTTCTGCCTCTTAGCATTTGTAATGAGACAGGTAATTCATCCAGAACCGAGTCTCCTACTGATCCTCCCTCCACCACTGAATCATGTTCTGATGAATCTACATCCAATCAAGAAGCTCCACCTCACATCAGAAAAAGACACCCACCATCACAGATAATTGGTAATCTTTCTGATCCAATTCAAACCAGAGGTAAGAGCATTCCAGGTCAGTATGCCTTTGTCTCTTTACTTGAGCCAAAAAACTTCAAGGAAGCAATTCTTGATGATGAATGGTTGCTTGCTATGCAAGAAGAGTTGTCCCACTTTGTTAGATTATGTGTATGGGAACTTGTGCCTAGGCCCTTAGATTCTACCATAATTGGTACTAAGTGGATTTTTAGAAACAAGTCTGATGAATTAGGATTCATTATTAAAAACAAAGCTAGACTTGTAGCTCAAGGATATAATCAAGAGGAAGGAATTGATTATGATGAAACTTTCGCCCCTGTTGCTAGATTAGAATCAATCAGACTCCTGTGTGCTTATGCTAGCTTCATGAACTTTAAACTGTATCAAATGGACGTAAAATCTGCCTTTCTTAATGGAGAAATTAAAGAGAATGTGTATGTGGAACAACCTCCTGGTTTCATCGACCCTGAATTCCCTGATCATGTTTTTAAATTGAACAAGGCGCTATATGGACTCAAACAAGCCCCTAGGGCTTGGTATGAGAAACTAACTGCGTTTCTTATCTCTCAAGACTTCATTCAGGGAGGTGTAGATAAAACTCTATTCATAAAGAAGAAAAATGATCACACTCTGATAGTACAAATCTATGTTGATGACATAGTTTTTGGTAGTACTAATCCCAGTTTATGTGAAGAATTCTGTTTCATTATGAAGAATCAGTTTGAAATGAGCTTGATGGGAGAATTAACTTACTTTCTAGGCCTGCAAATTCTTCAAACAGATTCTGGAATTTTCATTCATCAAACCAAATACTTGCAATCTATGCTGTCTAAATTTGAATTATCAAACATTAGTTCTTGCAAAACTCCTCTTGCCACAAATACACATCTTGACTATGACGAAAATGGAAAATCTGTTTGTGAACATAAATACAGAGGCATGATAGGGTCCCTACTGTACCTAACTGCTAGTAGACCAGACATTCAATTTAGTGTCTGTCTCTGTGCAAGGTTTCAGCATAAGCCAAAGGAAAGTCACTTAACTGCAGTAAAGAGGATATTTAGATACTTAAAAGGATCTTATGATCTTGGTCTCTGGTATCCTAAATCTGATTGTCCCTCCCTAATTGGATACTCTGACTCAGACTTTGCTGGTAGTATTACTGATAGAAAAAGCACAAGTGGAAGTTGTCAGTATTTTGGTCGATCACTTGTATCCTGGTCTAGTAAGAAACAAGGGTCAGTAGCTCTGTCTACTGCTGAAGCAGAATATATAGCTGCTGGAAACTGTTGCACTCAAATTCTATGGCTAAGATCACAGTTATTAGATTATGGATTAGACTTTGATAAAATTCCCATTTTATGTGATAACACAAGTGCTATCTGCATGTCAAAAAATCCTGTTCACCATAGTAGAACTAAGCACATAGAAGTAAAACATCACTTCATTAGAGATGTCATTCAATCTGGGCTCATTGAACTAAACTTTATATCCACTGATCTCCAAGTTGCTGATATTTTCACAAAAGCCCTTTCATCTGATCGATTTATAAGGTTGTGTGATGACCTTGGATTGCAATCTCTTCACTCTATACAGAATGCTCGTTAATCCAGGTGCTGCCCTTCCCTTCTATTAATTCTCTCGTCACTTGTGTTTACTGCATTTATGTATGTTTTGCCTTTCAAAACTGTGTTCATATTCCTTGAATGTGATGTTTGGTTTTTCCATGCCTAGTTAAAGTCTGTGCTTTACCTCTATTTACGAGTCATTAAACAAAACAGTCCCACCATATTAGTTTATATATGAGGAAGTTTTCAGAGTCTTCCTTCACCCATCTCACTGTTTAAACATCAAAAACACCACTTTCTCTGGTCATCATGACTGACTTGTTCACCTCATCAGTCATTCCTGGTGCTGTAGTCACTTATGTGGGAAGAACATTCAATGAGCCAGTAGAATTCAATCTCCATAGGTTCAAAGAGTTTTATGCCCCTCGCAAATTAGCTGTCCCCATCCATCTTGATCTATTTGAGTTCAAAGCTGCTGGAATTGATATCATACCATACATTAGAAACCTGGGGTGGGAGTTTCTTCTTCACTACCCTCCTTTGGCGGCATGTCCCCTTCCTGTTCGCAACTTTTATGCAAACCTTGACTGCCGAGGAATCATTACCAGGAAACTCACTACCCTTGTTAATGGATATCTCATCTCCCTATCCTCTGAAGCCATCAGTGTTCTCCTGAACCTTCCTACTGAAGGTCCTCTTCCCTTGGCTCATGAGGATGAGTTTTTATTCTATGACTTCGACTATGTTGTTGAGTATTCTCGTATTACTCAGCGAAGTGTTGGAGCCAATGAAGTAATCACTGCTGCTGAATTGAATCCCTCTCTCCGTACTCTGCATTACTTCATTACCCACTTCTTTCTGCCTCGCTCGTCAGGGCTTCACATCGTCACAAAACTAGATCTCTGGATTCTCTCTAATGCTCTTACTGGGCGTAAAATAGACTATTCCCAGCTGCTCTTTGGATCGATTGTTCGAAATGCTGAGTGCCACCTCAGTGGGGATCTGCCCTATGGGGGTTTCATCACCCTTATTATCTCCAACCTTGGCATTTCACTCGATGGTTATTCATCAGTGGACTCCTCAGTTTCTGTCCCTGCTCTCTCTGTGTTTCAATCCATCGGTGTCAATCCTCAGCCTTTGAAAGGGGGAGATATCACTGATCCTGCAGCTGGTCATCTCAAAATCAGAACAAAAACAATTTCTAAAACACCCCTGCTATCTGGAGACTCATCCTCATCCATCCAAAAAAATCTGATCATCACCTTTGAAGAAGAAGATGCTGAAATGGAACCTGAATCGCTTTCTGAAGAAGACATCAGAATCTTTGCTGAAGACCTCGAGAAAGAAATAATGGAAGCAACGGCTGGAACTCAGGGGGAGCCTGTGAATGATGAGAAGCCTGCTGAAACTCAGGGGGAGCTTTCAAAAATAGACTAGCTGAAAGACGTGCTCTGAAACTAAAAGATTATTTAAATGCCTTGCTATGATGAACTTTGATGAACTGCATTCCTTTGGTGTTTTGATTTTCATTTAGTGCGCTCAGTATTTCCTGAGAAGGGTGGTTGCCTTGATGTCCTGTCGTCCTTTGAGTTTGACTGTTCTTAAGGGGATTATGAAAGACCATAATGGTCTAAATAAAATAAGTGGTTGTTTTTTGTGTCTGCTGCAGAATTCATACAATCATTATAGCTTCATCGTTATCAAATTTTTGTCTTGCTGCTCTGCTGTGATTTTTCTCATTTTGCTGTCAGAAATAAAGGCTTGATCGCAGGGGGAGATTGTTGGGCCTTGTCGATCAACTAGTCAGAGTCCATCGCAGGCCCGAAGGCACTCGTGGCCCACTAAACCTACTCACTCTGTCGTCTCCCCACTCCAAGACCTATTCGCGTCTGCGCCTTTAATTCCTTCATCAAAATCATCGAAAGAACGACGAAGGAGAACGAAGGAAGAGTTCTCTGCACATCGATCTTCGCCCTCATCAAAGCAGCTCAACGGTACAATGCAATAAAGAAGATCGAGCAAGGGAACACTCACAGAGGCTATAAATGGAGCTTATCTCGAAGAAGAAGGCGACGGTTTCCTCGGCTCAGTAGAACTGGTTAGTTCCTTGGGAGCCTTAGGATTGGGTTCTGTTTATCTGTGTCTGGTTGAATTAGAGTTGGGGCTTCGAGCCAGGAACTCTAATTCTTCTGGGCATAGCGTGTGTTCGTGTCTCTTGTTCCTTTCTTTGTCTTTCAGCTCGAAGTTTGCTTTCGTACTGTTGATGAGATTGACTCTATATTTATATAAGGAACTCAATCATTCCCTCAATTCTCTTCTGTGGGTTTGCCTTTAATGGATTTCGAACTTGGTAATTGATTGTGTGAGATTGATACATAGACATAGTTGGATAACAGAAGCGATACTAACTGATATCCAATGGTGTATGAACTAATATCCAAGTCTTTGCGAACTAAATAATTCGGGTAGTTGATCGGTTTGGGCTCTGATACCATGTTTTTGTTACTCTCTTATATTTTTATAAATGTCTTATTGGTTTAGTAATCTTTGTTTTATTTTATTTAGGCTAGTTATTATATCCGTAATTAATTCGGTTTTAGAGATAGCTTCTTCTAATGTTTCTGTGATTCTCTTATATTTTTATAAATGTCTTATTGGTTTAGTAATCTTTGTTTTATTTTATTTAGGCTAGTTATTATATCCGTAATTAATTCGGTTTTAGAGATAGCTTCTTCTAATGTTTCTGTGATTCCAATACTCATTTGTTCCTCTACGATTTCTGAAGCAAAGTAAGTTAGTTCTTGTGTGACCGTATTGATATAATTTATTGAAGTGAGATTTATAGCATCTATTCCTTCAATTAATTTATTTATATGATAATTAGTAGGCATGTTTTAGATTTTATTCTCTAGATTTGCGATTGAATGTTGCAATTTTTCCAACTTATTTATTACTTGATTATTGGTTATCTCTTCAATTAATTTATTTACTTGATTATTGGTTATCTCTTCTTGTTCTAGATTTTGTTCAATTACTGGGATATGCCTAATTCTTTCTGATTGTGTTTTAATTAATCGTCTTTGATCTTGGGTTATCGATGGTCGACTAGGTTCTATTCTAACAGTTTTTAATGGTGCTTCTAGTTGAATTAAAGGTTTAAATAAATCTTCTATAGTAATTACTTCCTTATTTTTAAAGGTTAAGCTGTGGTGACTATTTGTTAATGCATAATTTATTTGATAAGTTACTGAAAATGGTTTGCTATTCTCTTTCATAAAATTTTCTCTTTTTAATTCGTATTTTATAATGATAGAAGAGTCAAGATTACCATCTGCCAGGCTTAATCCTTGTTGCAGGTTAATGTCGAATTTAATTATTCCTACTCCTAAATTTCCCGTTCCTTTAGCAATAATACTTTCTTCTTCGTTTAGGAGCCTATCATCACGAATTTCTAATTCCATGGGTGCGTCAATTCCTATTTTCATGGTTGATTTTAATATAATTTGAATTGTACTAATATGAATATAAGCTATTTTATTTCGTTCTTCTGGTCTTAGTTTAGCTAATCTTTTTCTGATTTGTTCTTTATTTATTACTTGGATTAAGAAATCACCCTTAGTTTGATCAATAGGGACTGCTACTTCACCTATCATTTTACCATATTTAATAATGTTTTCTCTATCAAAGAGCTTTGATAAAAAAGACTTAGTGATAAAGTTCTGAGTTTCTGAAATAGTAAAATTAGTTTTTTCTCTAATTTTCTTAATGTCTATAACACCATCTAAGAAGTAGTTTTCATTATCATTTTTGTTTAAATAGTCAAAATAACTTGAGGTAGGATTATCAGACATACCTGACTTGCTCTTCTGATGAAATTCTGAGCCTTTTGATGATCGCTTGATGATTGTAGCTTCTTTCCGTGCGTTTGATTATATTGAAAATGATTGTGGCCTCCAGGATCAGTGGATCCAAGCCTTACAACTAGCTAGCTAGAGGGAGAGAGTAAACAGGCAATTTTTATGGCCAAACTCGTTCTGCCTTATTTCATTGCAAACTCTTGCTCTTATATAGAGCTGAGGGGAGATACAAAGACGTCATTGCTTACGTTTGTGCAACAGGGACGTAAAGCTAATACGTTAAAAGAAAACGCGTGAAACGATAAGAAAGCTGATAAAATACAATAATGCACGACTTTTTTAAAGGAGTCGGCCAACCTTCTTTTGTCGCTTTATTCCATGTTTGATTCCTTTTTCTTCACATGCTTCTGTCAGTCTTGGTCTGCTGGTCCACTGATGTCTTCGTCAGTTGCTGCACACCACTCACAGAGATGGTCTTCATAGATAGTAAGCTCATTGCATAACTGTTTCTTGATTTGAGTGGGAAGGGCTGACAGATTCCCATTAATTTCTGTGAATTCCTTAATTTTATCTGTTATGATTGCCCATTCTTCTTTGGTTATGTTTCCTCTTGTTTTGCTGGTGATGATGACATCGGGGCTGCTGTAATTAACTTTAATCTGGCTTTCCGGTTCAATTTTGGTTAATGCTCTGCATACTGCAAGAAGACCCTTTACTTGGTAGTCTGGGTTCTTCTCATAGTCTCGTAGGTCATCTCTGGTAGGGTAATCATGGTTTGATACTCCCATGAGGATAACTGCCTTTGATCCGATCAATAGCTTGTCTTGATCGAATACGGGGTAGCTGCTTGTATATTTGAGAAATATTTCTCTTTCCTTGGCGAATAGCTCGAGATATCTTCTGATTACGTTCCTCATTCTTTGTGGGAAGTATTCAAATACCTTCATGGTTGTAGTGTAGATAGTGTCGATTAATCCATATTGATGGAACTCAAAAGAGAGTTCTGGTGATGCTTCTTCTGTGATTACTGCTTTGGGTCCTCCTCGACTGACGGGGTAGAAACCCATGGTCGTGTGTTTTTCTTCATAGTTGATTATCATATCCCAGTTGGATATGAACTTCTGAAAGATTGGTTTTAATTGCTCTTCTTTTTCCTTGGTGGTTAGGATACTTTTGATACTGGGTATCTTCATGACAAGTTTCTGCGACTGTTGCTCTTGATTCTTGAGTGGTTCTTTCATTGCCATCACCTTGTATGATTGTCTGTATGCTTCGTCGGCTGCTTCTTTTGTTTTAAATGATTGATGTTGGACTGGTTTGCCGTTGATGTGCTGGCTAGCGATGGCCCAGTTATGATATACTCCTCGGTATGGTCCATTGAATATGACATACCATTTGCTGCTTTTTCTGTCGTCTTCTTCGTAGTGGGAATCTTTTGTTTCTTTTTCTTCTTGTTCAACGATGTCTGCCCATCGTGTTGTCTTTTGTATATTATTGCTGGTAGTGGTGGATGATTGTATTGCTGTCGACTTTTCAGCATGTTCTGTGGTCAGTGTTGATGGCTTTCCACTAGTGGAGCTAGTTGTTAATGTACTGACGTCGATGTAGTTGATTTTTAACTGTTGCTGAATGACGTCGATTGATTGAATTATTGCTTCTTCTTCCCCCCTGCAAAGGATAAGCTGTTGTTCCAGTGCTGCACTCTTTTCCTGCTTCTGCTTTAGTTGATTGATGAGGGTTTTTATGAATCCTTCCATTCTCGAGTCAGTGTGTCTGTGAATGGATTGTTGCTGGACTTGATATACTTCAGATAAGGATTGTAATAATGGAGTTGTTGCTGCCACCTGATTAATCTTCCTTTGTTGAAATCTGCCTGAAGCTTGTATCTCCAAAAACCTGTTACATATTTAGAGTCGGTTTGAAGTTCAAACCTTGTAGATAATAATTCAAGCTTCCATTTTTTCAATGTTCTGAGACAGGCTAGTGTCTCTAATTCGTGGATCGGATAGTTCTGTTCAGTGGCGGTAAACGTTCCAGAAATATATTTACATAATTTCTTAGAATATTTATCACTGTTGAAAGGAACTGATGATTGAGAACTTGAAAGTTCAATAATATTGTCCGAAGACTGATAATCTTTAGGCTCTTGGCCAGAGACAGTAGCCTCGTTATTGTCTATTTTGACATTACCAAAATTGTCCATTTGTAATAATTCCTTACCATTTTGTATTGCTAACATACACCCTGCCCAAGTGTCCTTAGAGGCATCCGTTTGAATTATTAGAAAATCGTTTTCACAAGGGTTATATAATTTTGGTAAATGCTGACATTTTTCTTTCATTAATAAAACTATTTTTGTGTCTTGATCATTCCATGATCAAGGGATTTTGTCAGAAATCTTTTTCTGTAAATGTTTTCTTTCTTTTGCTAAATCTTTTAAAAATCCTTGTTCGCTTATATAATTTAAGCATCCGAGAAAACGTTGAATTTGTTTTCTATTTTCAAGTTGGTTTGGGAATTTATCGATTTTTTCTTTAGTGTTTGGTGACAACTCAATTTCACCCAAATTATTAATCTTCATACCAAGATATTCAATTTCTTTTTGAAGAAGTTTTGATTTCTTCTTAGAGATAATTAGACCTTTTTCTTTTATTCTCTGTAAAACTATCAAGATTTTTTCACGATGGTCTTCTTCTGATTGATTTGTGAAAATAATAATATCATCAATGTATGCCAAACAGAACGATTGAAAACCTTCTAATACATGATCCATAAACCGTTGGTAAATAGCTGGTGCTTGTTTCATCCCAAATGGGAGAACATTCCATTCGTAATGTTTTTATGGTGGACATGAAAAGGCTGTTAAAGGTTTGGTATTCTCATGTAGACGAAGTTGCCAATATCCAGATTTAGCATCTAAACTACTAAACCAAGTTTGACCTTTTAATCTTTCTAATATATAGTCTTTCCTAGGTAGTTTATAGCTATCTCCTATTGTTTGTTCGTTTAGTTTTTTATAGTTTATTACCATTCTTCTTTTTCCTCTTTTGATTTCATTGTTATTTTCTACATAAAAGGCTGGTGCACTGTGAGGACTTTTACTTTCTCGTATTATTCCTTTTTCAGCTAACTCTGAACATTCCTTTTGGAATTCTTCTACATCTCGTTGAGTATATTGAATTTTGTTAGGGACATTAACTTCCATTTTAGGATCTTTTAGTTTAATTTCGATAAGTTCTTGATTGGTATTTTTATCTTTATCTAAAGGATGTTCACTACACACCTGGTCTAAAGTATCCTCTAGAATGCTATAAGTAATCTGTATATATTCTAGTCTATTTTTGAGGTTTTGAAGCACAATTTTTAGCACTTCATTTTTTGTGATTATTCTTGTTGTGATTATCTTAGATTCCTGGTCTATTGTTTTAGGACATCTAAGGCTGATTGTTCTAATTCTTTGGATAAATGGTTGATATAATTTTAGAAAGTTATTTCCTATTATTATATCTAGTCCTGAGTCATGTTGATATATTGTTTTAGCTGTGAAGATATGTTTTTCAATGATTATTGGTACATATTGTTTTACATACCAAATTTCATGGATAGATTTGTCTGCCACTATAATTTTTAAAGGTTTTTCAAGTTTATCCCATTTTTTTATGGTTGATTTTTTGGCAAAACATAAGGTTGCCCCTGTATCAATATATGCTAAGAAGCTTTTCTTCTCTATTTAAATGTTGCGTTAGGATTGCCCTTAGTTAAAACCTTCTTCTGACTCATCTGAAGAGGTTTCTGAGGTTGAAATATATTCAATAATTTCTATATCGGATAGTTCAAAATCTGTTTCTTCGATTGGTTCAAAACCACAATCGTAAGCTAATCTAAGGACTTCTTGTTTTCTAGTGTTAGTATTTTTCTTAGGACATCTATTTGCGTAATGTCCTTCTTCGTTACATAACCAACATCTACAATTTGTTTTTCCTTTAGGACAGTATTCTTGTTGTCTTGATTTTTGTTTATACTGTTTTCTATTTCTGAAATATTTATTTGGTTTTCTAAACCTATTTTTTCTATATTCTTTGTAAGGTATTTTTCTCCATTTTTTATAATTTCTATATTTTTTCCGAGTTTTAATGATCTTACGATCATCATTACACCCATACTTTCCAACTCTGTCCATTGTTTGTTCACAACAGAGTTTAATTTTAGCTTCTTTCTTTAGTTTTTCCTTATTGCAAGCTTGTTTATGCCATTCTTGTAAAACTAATATTCGTCCTCCTAATGTATTTGGTATCTCTTCTTTAGCCAAAGTTTCATTAAAGGTAGCTTCAACTTTTTCAGAGACATTAGGTGGTAATTTAGCATAGAGTAATTTATCCATCTCTTTTCTTATCGAAGGGGTGACTTGATAATAATGTGTTCTGAATTCACAAATAAATGGTTCTAAGAAGCACATGTTGCAAATTCTAAGATTAGTTAAATGCCAAATAGCTTGTTGACTTATGGTTGTGTTTGGTTTATCTTCTCGAGGATGTCGTCCTAAGAATTCATGAGTTATAGCATTTAAGACTTTTTCAAAGGTATTCGTCGCATCTGTTGTTCCATATAACGTTGTCTTAGTAGGAATATCCATGTTGTTAAGATAATGATAAACTGCCCCAGTTGTTTTATATATTAAGAAATTAAACATTTCATTAGGGTGTAATTTCTTTAGATCTTCATTCGTTTGTATTAGTAATCCTGTTCGATTTTTCCAGTCTTCTAATTCTTTTAATGGGTTGACGCAACAATCAAGATCTAATATATCAGGATTGTTAAAACTAGTGGTGGAATATTTTGGTATGTAAGATTGAGGTATTTTACTCCATCCTCCCTCTTTGCGAGGTGTATACGAATTTTTATATAAGTATTCATCAGAAAATAGTTGACCATCTTTATAGTCATTAAAATCACGCTTCCGTGATGTTTCAGCTTGATCCTCAGTTTCAGTTTTC